ACTGAAGTTTACAGGGTTAACATGCTTAGGCAAGTGTGGTTGGAAGTTCACTGAAAAAATTACTCTCACAGAGTTTTGAGGCAATTAATATTGTAGTAGTTTTATAGATTCTGTTTTGTTTTGAAATATAGGAGTAAGAGAGAAAAATTATGTCTCCTTTAAATTTGCCAAGTTTTTCTCAGTAGTGATTGCATATACATATATATATTTGTTACAAGTCTCCCTGTCATACACAGCAACAGTGTTCATTATAAAATTGATCACATCACTATGGACAGTGGGGTTACAATTCCATATTGCTTCATTCTATGAATTCCCCTAAACTGATATTAACTGATTTTTGTACTTTTACAAACATTTTTATAGATATTGCAATGATTTAACAGGATGATGTATTAAAAAAAAAGTTTTCACACACGTTTTACTCACTCTAAGTATGTTTTTGTTTGAAAACCTGATGCGTATTTGTTGACTGTCAAGAGTTTCATTTTCAAAATTTCTGGGTGAAGCTTTTTTCTTATGAAAGTATTTTGGGGTGAATAGTATCTATGTAAACATGAGTCTGATTATTAGATAACTGCTAGTGACATTGTTAAAGTGATGCAGATTCTTTTCTTCATGTCAACCCACTTAGACAAAAGTAGGAGTGAAGTGAGTGATTCACTTACTTGTGAATGGTTTATTACATTTTATAAGTTATCCACTGGTTCAAACCTCAGTCTGTTCTCAGTTAGTTTAATTTATTTTAAGTAATTGTTGTCTCATGTGAAACTTTGCTTGATTATCTGTAAAATTCCCAGTCATATAGGAATCTGTAAAAGTTAGTATTGCATAATTTTAAAGTAAAACCTGATGATGCACCTTGTTGCTACAAAAGTTTTCTATGTCTATTAAGGAATAGACAGAACAATGTCACATTCAGTCAGAAACTGGTTAATTATATAAATGCTAATGAAAACATTTTGAAAAATGTCATAGAAGATAATGAAATGTGAGTACATAGCTATGGTGTCAAAATAAGTGGGTAATCGATGCATTATCACTGTGACCAGAAAACTGTTAGAAACACTTAAATGTGAAGGTGATGTGATCATCTTTTTTTCTCTTTTTTTTTTTTAAATTTTATTTTGAGCAATGTTTATCAAGAGACAGTCAATATAGAATTTTATTTGATGGTCCTGCAATGACTGACAAAGGGAGAAGCCTGAAGTATGACCAACCTAAATCTGGATGCTGCATCATAACAGAGTACTTGCTCACCTGTCATTCTTTACATATAAAATTTTGACAAAGTATAAGGAACTCTCATCCCTCGGTTACTCTACTCTTTGGATTTGGACTAAAGACATTTATTTCATTCCAAAACTGAAATCAACTCTAAAGGGTCATTAAATTCAGGTGATAGTTTTGTAATCCATTACATGTACATAATACAAGTAATAACAAAGACTTCAATGTAAAATAATAAAGTATTTAATTACCAAACGCAATTAAAATACATTAACAACAAAGAAGTAAAGAGTCAACAGAAAGAATATTGATTACTTATCAGTTCATACACACCTGCGTAGAGCTGCTAAGAAAAGTACTAATTTGTCTTGAAACATGTGACCTTCAACTTTAACATCCAGGTAAACACAATAGTCAAACACAAAATTGTAACCACCAGTGGCATGATATCTCTATTTATAGTAAATGGTGGGCGACATTTTCATTGTCTAGAGATTCATGTTCAAACTCCAGTGTCAGCAGTGACACTTTTCATTCATATATGACAGAAGAAAAGGTATTATGAGACCTGTACACTATTCCACAAAATAACTTCAAGACTGGAAAAAATGATAGCAACAGTTTATTAACAATGGAAGAGACTGTTTTGAAGGAGACCAGTCATATTGAGTTACATAAAAGCAATAATCTTATTTATTTTTTTTTTTTAATTCAGTTTCTTTTTGGCCACACCTAGTGACATTAGTAACCAGTATGATGTATGGTATTTTTATTGTTCCAAATTAAACTTTTATCTGATAACAGTGATAACACTTAAGGGGAAATTTTGTTCAATGCCATTATATAGTATTACAAATAATTTATAACTAAATGTCACTCTTCCTTTAAATCAATGTGTAAACTATTCAGACTAAATATAATTTTATATGTGATCATCTATTTGACAATGATAAATGTTCAAGCAGTATGTAAAACATATTTGGAATAGCAAATATTTGCTCTTTTTCTGATAATTATTCCCTTAACTTCAGGAATACAAAAGTATGGAAATTTTAAAATATGTCTTTTTTTTTTTTTTTTTTTTTTTTTTTTTTTTTGAATTTTTTGGATGAACAGCTATCATTATTTATTTGCGAACTATTGTCCTCATCTTTGTTGTTATTATCATAACATTTCAGCTATTGTACCCTCTGGCCTTTTATTAGCTGCTTGTTGATCCAGGAAACCTTCATAGAATTTTGAAATTAATCATTTATTTAATCTACCAGGGTAGATTGTTCTTGTTTCACTGACCATGTGTAATTCTTATTTAGTACTGCTCAATTATTGCTCAGTGAGTTCAAGTAATCCTAGCTCAGGGATTGAACTCACAATTACTATGTCACCAAATCCATGAACCAATACTTTAGTCAACTAAATTATTGTCTCATGGGACAATCCTAGAACTTAAATTTAACCTGTCTGCTGATCAGTACATTTCTTTCCTGCTGAATCTTTTCTGTCATTTCTCTTTCTTTATTAACAGTTCCCTTACCATATTTGATTCTATGAAAGGTTATGATGTCTCTGGTTGAATTTTTGAATTGATTCAGTCTTTCCTATCTAATTGCAAAATGAAAGTTGCCCTGAATAGCCATTCTTCTAGATCCTTTTGTACAAATGCTGGTGGCCCTCATTTCAGGCGATAGTGCCTCATAAGTAAAACTCACAATCCATTATTTAATGAGGTAAAAAAATTGGTTTTAAAAACACATTCTATTCATTCAGTATCATTATACTGAGTATGTCAAATTTGACACTTCTGCTTTCAGTATATATTTCTATGTTAAAATTAGAAAAACTTGTATATGGCATGAAAAAGTGGAGACTTGTTGAAAATGACTGTCAGAAAGAAAATGGTGTTGTAAATCCTGAAGCATCCATCTTTTTTATCAATATTTATGTTTTGTACCATTAAGAAATTATTTGGAAAAACTTTTCAATAGCAACTGCAATTCAAAACAGTTTTACTCTTTATTGTACCAGAATTTTTAATACACTTGAAGGAAGCTGTGTTTGATCCTGCAACCATTTCATTTAGATTAAATACACACTGAAACATTCTGAAAATATGGACATATTTTAAGAAACAGGATAATAAATGAGTTTCTAATTTGAATTATAACTTAATGATGCAATTATTAAGAACTGGAGGCAACAAATTCTAAGCTTCAAAACTTGGCAATGTATTACTGAAATAATTATAATTATGACTTCTTTAGAATCAAGGAAAATGATTTCAAATTTGGATGAAAGCTTTAGTTTAGTTTGGCTTCACACCTTCCTCTTCTTAAAATGTTTAGTGCATGTGTTTATATGATCTTTTTCTTTGTATATGTGTACTTTAAACTTTTGTGTTGTTGATTAGTTATTGATCGTTATATATTCTTAAGATTCTCAACAGATAACTTTTGTTGACAAGCAAGAAAATGGCTCTTATAAACTTGTCTGTCAATATCATAGCAAAGACCACATTTTCTCCTTGATACCTCAGCTCACTACTCTCTCTTCTCATGTAAAGTGTATGTATTTCATGGTTATTGTCTCTATTGTTATTTTTTCTCTTAATGATGATATAAGCCTTTGCATGTCTGCTGACTAACAAGCAAGCAAAAACAAGCTGTGTCCTAGTTTAAAAAACTAAAACCCGTTCAATTCTCCAACACTTTAATGCTACTGCTGAGTAAACAAAGAAAATGTTTTGCTAACACCAGATATCTTAGATTTTAATAAATACTTCATAAATAAAGTAAAGAAAAAGATTCTTTTTGTCTTTACTTTAGGCATTTTATATTTGACTTTTTGTCTTAGCTTCATATACAACAAATGACTTAAGTTTGAATATTATTGTTTTAATCAGTTTCCTCATTGTGAAAACTAAGATGTAAAAACATCTCATATGACATACTGAAATTTTTATAGCATTTTAAGGCATATATAAATATGGACAAAATCAAACATCTCAATAAAAATTTCATTTAAAATTTTACAGCAGTAGACTGGTCTTTACAGCCACATAAAAAGAAAGCATTGTCACAAAAGCATTTACTTAGGGATGAAAAACATGTTAATCATGTCATGCCTGAAATAACAATTGCTGCTGCTACTTTTATGTTCTGACATCAAACACAATAACAGTTGTTACTCAAATTTTTTCTGATTTTTTTTTTTTTTTTGTCTCTTTTTCAATTATCAGGAAACATTACAATGAACCTGTTTGTTTATTTAACCAGTCAATATATTCTGATATTTATTTCTGAAATAAGCTTATATTTATAAAAATGCTGACCTGAATATTCAGTTTGTGTATATCTTATATAGACTATGTTTTTATCAAATTTTGATTCTCTCTTAGAAATTGAACATCAACTGCTGATATTAAACAAAAAAGTTACTATTGTATACATTAATCAGATTACTACAACCTAAGATCTAATTTTTGGAACCTATGATTCTGTGGCTTTTATCAATATCATACTTTCTATTAGAGTTTAAATGGATTCTCTGTTAATATTTGGTGTTCCTAATTAGCACTTTACAAGCATATAGAGTTGACTAAATGTGTACAATGATATATGTCTATTTAAATATAGACGCAGACTTAAAACTCACTCATTACTATTGCCTGTGCTTTTACATGACCGTTCTGTTTTAATTGTATCTGATGTGTAAATGCTTTTTGTTTATGACTTCATTATTTTTTTTTTCTTTTCAGGACGTGACTTCAGCTAATGGAGGAAGCTGAATTAATTGTCAAGTTTCCATGGAAGAGAGGGAATTGTTTCAATTGTTCTTTTGATTTAAATCAAAATGCCAGACCTGGCGAGTATGTTTTGCAGACATTATTCCTTGAGTTCTGCTCTGTGGTTGAACAAAAAATAGAACAGGTCTTGGCAGAACCTTTGGTATGCTCATATAAACTTTTTCATTTTATGGAAAGTTTTAATTTGTTGGATTCCTTAAATTCTAACATCTAAGATTGGGTCTTATAAGCTTCATCAGTATATGTAATCAATATGTGCCTTTTCTCATTTCTACAAAAGTTGGATAAAATTCTTAATGTGATGTTTAATTTGCCATTGGTGCATGTGAATAAGTCAATGAAGATATTTCTCTGGCAACAAGAAGCCCTCAGTATTAGTCTGACAATGAAATGCTGTAAATATAAAGTAGTACTATATCATTACTTTTAATGAATGCGCACAGCTATTATAATTGTTACTTACTGTTTTGTAAATGCTTAATCTTTCAACCATTTGTTCTAAATTCATCTAATCAATTTCAGTAAATTTTTACAGCAGTATATAAAATATACCATATATACTCAAGTGTAGTGCAAGCTTTTATGATCAGTTCTTTACTCAAAAATAGGAGGTCACACAATACACAGGTAATTTTTTCCAGGAGGGTTTTTTGTTGATCATAACCTACCTGGTAGGCTGACATATTCATGGTACCTGAAGACCATTTATTTACTATAAAATATGTCCAGTATTGCAATATTTGACTAAGGTAGGTCTACTAGTATTGCTTAGAAGCTGGGATCCCAGCATACGCAAACTATATAAAAAAATCAGGGGTTCCACTATACATAAAGTAGGCTTATGCACAAGTATATATGGTAGATGTTTATGGTTGGCAATAATGGGTTATTTTCAATGGTTTATGATCAAAATGTTTGATGTCTTTTAGAAAATGGGATATGTATTTTTCAGGAACGGTTCCTTTCAAGATCTTTACAGCGAAATGAAGATTCTCAATTTGATCAGGTATTGATTATTTCTATATTCCTATGTAACTATGTAGAAAAAGTTAATTGATTGCAAAATTAACATCAATGCATGCATTCAACTTAATATTTGTTTTGTATATGGTCATACTTAAAGATCACTCTTGCAGTTATTTCAGTATTAAAGTGATAATTTACTTAATTTTAATATTTATATCCTGGAAACTCACAAGATTATTCAGACTAACATCCTCATTGTTATTTATTTGTACAGTAGTAAGATGGGAAAAGATTTATATAAGAATACAGATTATATTAATTTTCCATAATGTTTCTATAAAATATTCAACAATGACTCAAGAACTTAGTAAAAATTTGTCTGTCAAAATTTATAATTGAAAATTCCTTGCAAATTGATAATTTTTGAGTTTCTTTTTTTAATTTCTGTTTTATTTATTTTTCTGATGTAATGTTTCAGTTGCTTTATTTTCTGATTTTTTCAAGTAGAACTAGTTTAGTGTTCAATCACTAGTTAGTCTGTTGCATTGGCAAATGCCATAGTCTTTGTAATATTTCTGGATTAAACTTTTTTTTTTTGATAATTTTTTAATAGATGCATTATCTGTTTCTTTGCTTGGCTTACAAATTGGAAATCCTGTTCCTTTAGTTTCTATATTTTTAAATGTGCTTCTTTGTTAATTATAGTGACTTCATTCTAAACCCAACTTTAACAAATGAATCTGGCTAAAATGAATGCCATTTTATCAGTAACATTTAATGGCTGCTAAACTAATAACAGCAAACTACCATACATGTAGAATAGTCTGCCAAAGATCTATAATGAAGGCATCCAGCTACTAGCAGCTGAAATTCTGAGTAATATTCACTATGTTGTTTCTGGGTAGACATAATCAACTCACTATTGTAATGCCCACTATATAAAGCTTATCAGAGAGTCACCTGTCCACTTCACACAAATATTGAATCAAGATATTTACTTAAGTACTTCAAAACAAACAAGAAACCAATAAATCTATAGCCAAACATATCAGCATACTGATATAGAAACTAATAAAAATGCTAATGTTATACATACAAACAATACCTTTCCAAATAGGATTAATATATACACAGAGAAAAAAAAGAGGCATAGCTATGAAATCATCAGTTACCAATGATACCAAATGAAAGAAAATTGTCAATATTTTTTTGAAGTAGTTGGTGTTGTCATGCCAGATTTATTCTCAGAAAAATCAGTGGACTCACTTGTTGCATACTTAGTAAGAGAATTGATATAGTGTCTTATAGACATTATATCAATTCTCTTATTTGGTCTAAGTTGTGAAAATCAGCCAGTTCTATCACCAAGGAATCTGTTTTTCACTTTTAATTTTGGATTTAAATTTTGTTAACAATGAAACTGAGTATTGGGCCATAAGAGTTTTAGAACTGAGTGTAGTAGACTTTGCTATTTTTTAATAAAAGTCTGTAATGTTTTACTGAGACAATTGAAGATTTTCAATTGGTTGTTGTTTATAAGTTTAAGCTTTGTATTTTTTTGTGGATCAGGTCAGAGCATATCATTTTGGAACTGATTTCTTTTTGTGAGAATTGACATTTTTATTTCTTAAATTGTATTTCAAAGTTTTTGGTAGCTTCCATGAATTTAATTCATGCTCACTTTGGATGAGTTCTCAAATTATAATTTGAAGAGTTTATTTTTGTAGGCGGGAGAGCTCAAAAGTTCTTGGCCCAACTAACTTCCAAAATCTAACCAAACATAAAGTTTATTTTGGAAAGGCTGAGAAATTTTCAGCACCTTCTTTTAAAGGTTTTATTCAGATTATTATTAGAAATAAATTTGTCTGTGGTTCTCTGGAAAATGGGAATATGATAGTGTATCCAAAATGGAGCCTTTTTAAAGAGTTTTTTCTGCTTATGTAAAAGCTAAACATCAAAGCAACTAACATAACCAAACTGGTGCAGATGATTTTCAACATTTGATTTGGATATTTTAATTATGTTGGCTATCTCTCTAGCATTGTATAATGTTGGTTCTTCTCAATCAAGATCATGATTTTATTGCCATCAACCTGAACTGATGCAATGTGCAGCAGGAAATCTGAAGTATAAAACTTTGCAAATCACTTTTTTTGTTGTTAGAATCAGTAAAGAAAAATACACTAAATTTGACAATTTTTAAAACTAATACACACTGATATGACAGCTAATTTTTTTGAATGAAGTTAGATAAAACTAAATGCTCTTAATGACAAGTGCCAAGTGAATTTTCTGAACAGCATGACTAAAAGCCAATCATCAGCTCTGCATATCTGAAAAATGTCTTCACACTATGAAAATGCACAATTACTACTTAGTCAATTGAACTTCATTGAACCTTCCATAAATTCATTCCATCATGGAAAAGTAAGAAAAAAACAAATTTACTTGGTTAGATATACCAGCATCCAATCAAAGTATGAGTAAAAACAAACATACATTCATACATCATAAACTCATATCTACTTTATAATGTTTCACTTTCATTTCAGACACTGAACTGATCAAAAGATGATAAAAAACAGTAAAAATGATTGTCTAAAAATTTAATTGAATATTGGAAATGAATCTCAAAATTAGCTGTAAATTTTGTTAAGTACAAAGATTTGTCCTCAAGATATAACTACTGATTCTTTCTCTTCTCCTCTTGCTATATTTCCAACTTTACTAATTCCAAATCCTTTTGCCTGAATTTCAATCATCAGATTGAGGGGCACTCAAAGAGTTTGTGGAAAAGGTTATAAGAAAACTATACAAATATTTTAATATTTGCAATAAAGTAAATGTGGACTAAACTGTGTGAACCTGAAGTATTTTGAGGTGATAGATTTACACTTACAACAGTTAAAAACAATCCTCTTTAGACAGCATGAATCCTGTCAAGATTAAGAACTAACATCAAATTTATGGTAAAACTTGGTTGGAAAATTGAGGACATTATTGGTGCTTTGAGAAAAGTTTATAGGGATAATTGCCTTAAAAAATCAGCAATTCACAAATGGATAGCTCATTTCGAGGAAAAGTCAAATGGAGTTGAAGGTAATGAACAGATCAGCAAACTATCAACATCAATTTGTGAAGGAAAAAATCAATGTTATCAAAAGTTAATTGAGGTAGGCTGACGATTAACAATAGAAATAATAGCTAACACTCTGGACATCTCAGTTGGTTCAGCCCACAGAATTTAACCATGAAATTAAAGTTGAGAAATCTTGCTGCTTATTGGGTGCCAAAACATTTTGTGCCCAGATCAGCAACAGACAAGAGTAGAGTTTTCAATAGAAATTTTAAACAAGGGGAAAAAAGTAACATTCACCAATGTATGTCATTGAGCATTTTGTTAAATATCCAGAAATTTCTAAAATGGACTATATGAGCATCACAGTTCATTGTAACACATTCTTTCTGAGTGAAAATGTAACACTGAACAAATACAAATATTCAGAAAATATACATAGAAAACTTTCATGTTCCATTTTTGTTTCTCTTCACACAAAGATGGTAATTAGTTAAGAGAAAGGATAAATCATCTGGTAAGATAAATACAAATGTGAATATACTCAGAATTCAACACATTTTTCAATATGGAGTAGCTTCAGGGACACAAAGAAATTAAATAAGCAAAATTTAAATTGTAATCTCAATAATATAATGCAAAAACTATGAACAGTTCTTAACTTTTGTCTTATTAAAAAATAAGTACAATTCAAAGAATTTGTTTTAATGCATAGTAGTTCAAAAACTATTTTTTCTTTCTGACTATTTGTATCAAAATATTCTTTTAATATTACAAGTTGAACTTCATTGAAAAATTTTCTGATTTTTGTTCAAATGTTGTAATTATTTACTAAGTATTAGATTTAGCACAAGGCCATAATTATGAGATGCCAAGTGAGGATCAAACTAAGGAACAACAATATTATGAGATCACCTTTCTAACAATTACACCACAATGAGATGTCCAACAAATATATAAATCAAATTGTGAAATGAAGGTCATTTTGAATGGGCTCATTTCCAGATCCTTATACACAAATGTTGCTGTCCCACAAGGCTCTATCCTGGGTCTTACACTGTTCTTCATTAATGATCGTTTTTGATGCCATTAGTTCCCAAGTAGTCATTTATGCTGATGACACTACCATTTACTACTGTCTCAATAGCAAAGTTAACCTGGCTGCTGCTCTTGAAAAGGACCTCCAATCTGTGGTTAACTGGGGCAGGAAATGGCTCATAAATTTTAATGCCTCCAAAACTAAACTGCTCTCATTTAACCACCATAGAGAAGCTTTCCTGTCCACCATCAGCATGGCTGATGCAAGATTCCTGGAGAGCAGCAACTGTGCTTTCTTGGCTTCACATTTTCAACTGACTTGAAGTGGAATGACTACATCAAATCAATAGCTGCATCTACTGCAAGAAAAGTTGGGTCACTGTTGTGCAAGGAGGTTTTTCTCATCAGTCCATCATGCACATTTACAAATTTACCATTTGTCCATGCATTGAATACTGTTGCTATATCTGGCTCTTGCTACACATCTCAAGGCTCTTGACAAAATTCAAAGAAGGATCTGCAATGTAATCGACCTTGACTTAGCATCTTGACTTCAGTCACTTTTTCACTGATGTGACGTGGCTTCCCTCTGATTTTCTAGAAATATTTTCATCGCAACTGCTCTGATGATTTTTTTCCTGGTGCCTGAACTATGTGAGTTTAAGTGCACTACTAGATTGGCATCTAGGTCCCTGTTGTGGAGTTATTTTGCAGTGGTGGCTTGTATTTGTACTAAATCGGTCCTAAATAGTTCGACATACAAAACGTTAGGAACTTGATATAATAGGTATTATGCAGAGTAATCTTGTTGTGGTCGCTGACTACTTTCGTATTCGACTACTGTCGTCCGACATCGACTGACCCTCGTTTCTCTTACTACTCCTACTTATATTAGGTGGGAGAGTCTATTAACTATACAATATGTGTGTTTCACCATAACACCCCCCTCCTAAAACTTTACTCCGTAGGAGTAAAACAGTTTTATTTATTTATTTTTTACAGAAAATATGAAGAAAAAACAAAAAAAAAAAACCTCATTTTTTTAGCAACGTCATAGTGTATTGCCTATGTTTTGGATTGATATAATAGGTATTATGAGGAGTAATCTTGTTGTGGTCGCTGACTACTTTCGTATTCGACTAACTGTCGACTACTGTCGTCCAACATCGACTGACCTTCGTTTCTCTTACTACTCCTACTTATATTAGGTGGGAGAGTCTATTAACTATAGAATAGGTGTGTTTCACCATAACAGTTCCACCCTTTTGCTATTGAATTAGTTAAATGTAACCACCACTTCTACTTCAACAATTTCTTTTCTCATACTTCCCGCCTGTGGAACTCCATCCCATTTCCTTGCTTCCCTGATAATTACAATCTTCAAAACTTTAAATGCAATGTCAATTACCATCTTCTATCTTCTTGAACCCCATTCAGCTTTTACCCTTTCCTTGGTCACCCCTATACCCAGTCTTTTCTCTCACCTTCACTCTCTGTAACCCCCTGCATAACAGTAGCATTCCCACCCTGCTTGGGTGAAACAATTAAAAAAACAAATACAACAAAAGAGAAATTATGGAATATAGGGATGGATTTATAAGTTAGATTTGATTTTCTACAAATAAGTTAAAGCAGCTGGATTATTCAGCTAGGCTTCCCTGAGACAATGAGGATGTGAGTTTGAATCTCACAAAGCACTTGTTTATTTCTGACCTTTGTTGTCTACTTGCTGCCATAGATTGATGACCTGAGTAAAGTTGCAATAAAAACCAATTAAAAAATTAAAATGAAAATAAATGCAAGTCAAAATTAATAATAATACTGTTAGTTCAAATAAACTCTTGAAAAATTTTACTATTGAAATTGTTTTATTTTCTGTTTAACATTAATCGTATTTTCTTCTACAGATTCTGTCAGCACTGGGATGTGTTGCAGAGCAATCACTTCCTTCCCTCTTGCAAACTTTGTTCAAATGGTATGAGAGACAATCCATCTCAGATGATGGCATCACCTTTGACAAAGGGCGCTCCTCCAAGACTAAAGGGTAATTTTTTAAAAATTTAATACAAAAGGACAAGTATTTTTCTAATTTTAAAACCAGTATTAGCTTTGAAATAATTATTTTTAAGTGTAGATCCAATAATATCTATGAAATTTGTTTACTTTCAGCATATTTTTTAAATGGTCTATTCTTCAATAAATTGTTAGAAAATGGCTATGATATTTATTCTAGTAAGAATGTTTATACATTCAAGTATTTTCATTGTTAATATATTAGAGATTGTCTGAAGATGATGGCTTACCTAAAATTTTACATTCCAATTAATTGAATTGTAAGCATTACTTTGTAAAGAATGACTATAATATTTGTTTATTAAATATTAGGTGTTTATTTTTTTTTATCTCACTGATTACTATTTCCATGAATTAGATGAGAAAATTGAATAATTTTCTTAATTTCATTTAAATTTAGATGTGTGAATATTGAAAAGTTTGACATATATGCTACAATCTGATAGAAAAATGTAGCTTAGTTAAACTATCAACCATTTTAAATTTCAACCATATTTATACTAAACATTTAATATTTAAGCATTTTCATTGATATTATCATTTTATTTGGATGCTTCACTCATCCATAAATGAATGGTCATTAATTTTATAATATTTTAAACTTCAGTTTTATGATTTTCATTTTATAAGACAAATTAATAATTTGATAAAAGTAAAAAAAGAAAATTAACCTTTCTATTTAATGAAAAGCTTTCTCAAAATTCAGAAATTGTAAATAAATTCTATACTTTTGAATGTAGGTATTGTTTGTTTAATTAACTGAACTATAAAGCACAATTGAATTTTTTTTTTGTTTTTCTATTTTTTAAAGAAAAATACAATCAATTTTATGTTTATCTTTTTTGCTTTTTCAGAGAAAAAGATTTCCTCTGCGAAAGGAGAGAGGCAAGTAAATTTTATTTAAAAGTTTGAATAGTTAATCAGTTACACAAATAGTAATTTTTTCCTCACCTTATATTAGTATAATGCTTAGCTTTTTACTTAAACTCACTCTGTCTTTAAAGTTCATTGTATAACATCAGGGAGTAAGAAATTTTATCCTACCATATTGGCCTATAACTTGCATTTGAAATTTAAATTGTCCTTCTAGCTGATTGCCAACTAAATTCTCTTTCTTCTAACTGGTTGCAAACTAAGGCTAAAAATCTTACCTGTCTATAACTGTTGGAGAGAAAAGATGAATTCACACTTTTACTAAGAGTATTAGCATAAAGTAAACACCAACTTTTTTCATTCAAAGTTTGAACTTTGTTTGCCATATCCACTTTCTCTGCTGTTAACTCTTACATTACCCACACTTCTCTGCTTTATTAACTGTTAAATATTTTATCCTGTAACTATTACCTTGAAGAATAAACAGAAGTTTTGAAAATAAAGGTGATCACTAATTATTGAGCAATTTTTTAACATTCTTTACTAGCAAATTATGAATTTTGCATTTACATCTTTGGTCATTAGTGAAAAGACCTCAAGTTCAGGGTTTGTACATTTTTTTAATGACTTATGGGGATTTTACATGATTTATACTAATGACTGAAGGTAGGGATAGCTAAAAAATATTTTTAAAGCACTTGCATGAAAATATTTTGATAACTTAAAATTTGATGCCAATTATAACAAAGAATTATTTTTATTCTACAAATTTATAACAAAGAATTATTTTTATTCTACGTATACATTCAGATGTATTAAATTGTATATAACCAGAACTTGTTAGAGAAAGACTAAAATAAAGATGTCAAAAACTTAGATTTTGTATTTGAGAATTATTTTCAATCATAATGTTTTCTGTCAGCTCATGTACAAGTAAAATAATCTTTACTAATAATGATTCACAGTTTTATCTCTCTACACAGATTTATTATTTTTCTGTCATATATCTTAGTCTTAACATAATTTATTCTTCATTTAGAATTTTACTGACAGGAATTTCAGCTTTCTGTTCACATGTTCTCTGAAAAACCATTATTATTATTATTATTATTATTATTACAGCTGGCTGTAGAGTTTGTATACTGCTTGGCTCTAATTGAAATTTTACCCAAGGTTAGTAAACATTTTAACCATTCAGTATATTTGAATTATAAATGACAGGATGATTATATTTGCTATACTTTGAATGAAACAAAATAAGCAACCTATAACTTCTTTTAAGGTTTTTTTTCACTTAGCAAATTATTGTGCAGTGAATTTGAAACAACAGACAAGACTTGAAGTAGGCAGTCATTGGAGGGAGATAGATTAATCAATCCTCAATTAATCAAATGAGAACAACGGTTAACTGCACTTACCCTACCAATCATGTGGCTGGAATTGACAAAGTCTGTAAACTTAGAAATTAGGTGTTGCATTCATCAATGGGATGACTATCAAAATTATTGTTTGGATGGACATCTTTAGATTCTCTGAAGTAAATACATAGCTGGACATCTTTAGATTCTCTGAAGTAAATACATAGCTAGACATCATCATCACAGTGGTTGAAATTTGATAACTTAATGTCAACATAATGTGTAAACAAAATTGCTGTCATTGCAGCCATGCTAAAACCAGAGTTAGATTTTTTTTAAAAAGTACATTCTTTTTTGTTAATCAAATATGTGAAATGTTATTTACTTGACACTAATCAATTTGAAATAGACTTTTTCTACCAGTATGTAATATATACTGCAACAAATAGTACATGTTGCAATTACTAAAAAAAGATTGACAATTGTACAATGTCTGCTTGTTGTTTAACAATATCAAACCACAGGTTTCATGGATGATCAGTGAAAATTTTCTGAAGATGGATTGGGAAGTTCTGCTGCATCTGCTCAAATTGGTGTCCCCTGCTTACCACCCTTTTAGCTCCTTTCAGAAATTTCTGTATGATGAAGGATTCCAAAATAACAGCCTCAAAATCATATTGTTAACATTCAGTTCAATTAAAAACTGAAACTTTGTTTTTTTATTTCAAAGGAATCTATGATTTACCAGTGCAATAATAGAAAGTGATAAATAACAAAGTCTGTATCCTTATTATCAGGTGATTATATATACTGCAACAAATAGTACATGTTGCAATTACAAAAATGTGTTGTTTTATACACTAATGTTTTCTCCATTTCTCTGCAGCATAACACTATGTAGATTAGTCAGTATGTTTATAGCTTAATGATAAAAATATTTTTATTTTACATAAATATTTTTTAACATAATCTCATTCTTTATCAGTGTACTTAACACTTCACTTCTGTATTAATTACATAGATTGAACATTATACAGTGAAAATTTTAGATCAAATCTAGTGTCAGGCTACAGACTTATTGATTCATTTTTGTCCATAACTTCATAAGCCTCAGTAGCATTGTATTTTATCATATATTTTCCATCCTATCTTTATCCCTATTGCTCTGTGATTTTATCTATATTTTCATCTTTTCCTGTATTATCTTTCAGTTGATTTATCATCCAGGCCATGATGACTTAGTGAATCATATCATAACACAATCATTCCGCCACTTTAAATATAAAGATGGGTATGTCCTTATTTCTTATATTCACCATCTCCTTAGGTTTTCTTTACATTTTTCTTAGTGTTTAATTCCATTCTACTATCATATTTTTATTGAAAGATATACGGTCAGAAAAGTAATAGAAGAGCTTTAATGATTAGTCAATTCTGCTGCTGCTATAAGCTAGAACCTGATCATCTTTATTGTAGATTTTCTTTTTGTATTTTGTTCAAACCAATGTTTGTTTTTTCACATTTTAGCCAAATGATTAAAATACCCCATCTAACATAATTCAGACAAAGCTGTTTTTTCATTGTTTAGGTTTTAATCAACAAATTTGATATAAATTGTTTATTTTTTAGAAACAACATAAAACTCAAGACAAACTTGCCATCTAAGCCAATAATTTACACATAATTCTTTAAATAGTCATAAAATTAATTTATACATGATTATGAGTAAATAAATAAACTGCAACTTTTCTATTTCATATTTGGAGACAAATAGTTTAAATGCTAAAAAATAAGACTAAAACTAAATGAATATATTAATGACAATAAAAAAACATTCTAAAATTCTTTTTAATGGATATTTTCAAATTTGATCTTTTTTTTTTTTTTAATCTTTTTCAGTATCCAATCCAATCCAAATGCTGCCAATATCAACCTCATTGCTGACTTGTATGCAGAAGTGGTTGGTGTATTGGCACAGTCAAGGTAAGATAATCAGAAATGCATTGTATAGGAAAATGGTCAGTCAATTCTTTTAGCATAAGCTTTGTGGCAATTAAACTCATCATTGATTATTATTTCTTATAGCTTAATTTTTTTATCTGCTTTCTTCTGTTATTGAACCAACTTTTCCCAAATAGTTTCTAAAAGTGCTGAATTTATTTCCTAATCAATTTTCTTGAATATATTTTCATTTTGTTTTAATATACACATTGGATTATTTAGGTTTAACTGTTTTAAGAGGTTTTCTTATTTTTAAGCTGTCAAACTGTCTTAAAATGCTTTTTATAACAATAATTTTTTATACTGTGTGTTGTTTTATACACTAATGTCACTATGTTGTTTTACTAAGCCTCTGATCTGAGTTCTCTTAAGTTCTCAGGTATGCAGGGAATAGACTTAAAACTTGAAAAGGAGTAACAGTCTAATCTATGGGTGGTGGAGTCATTACCAAACATCTGTATACTGGCTTCACATTTTGAACTGTTTCTTGTTTTGAGTATCATTGCTTAAAAAATCACTCAACTCTTCAAAAATTACACTTGACTATTATTAAGTGACAGTAATTAAAATCATAAATAAAACAGTCTGATTCAAAAAATACCTCATAAATGTATGTTTTTGTTAAGTTAATTTCAATATATCAGTTTAAAGACTTGATTTTTACTCTCAGTTTATCAAAGTTTCTTAAATATATAAACTTCACTTTGTTGTTTTAATCAAAATGATCTTTCCATATTTTGCTGCACCTTTGTTTCTTTAAAAATACTAAGAGAATTGGTAAAAGTTATATGAAGTTTTATTGCAGGTATACATGAAAAACTGGTATCTAAATGAGTGATATACTACATACAAAAAGAAAGTAAATAAAAATCTCTTCAAATCAGTTTCAAGATAGTTATTCTCAATTATCATGTGACTTTCTCTGTTTTATATTTTTAACTATTTCTTATTGTATACTTTAAATTATCCTGATCATTATGTTTCAGGTTCTCCCAAGTACGTAAAACTTTTGTGAATGAATTAAAAGAACTAAAGCTAAGAGATCAGACACCATACACAACCCAAAGCATCATTAGTTTACTGATGGGATTGAAATTTTTCAGAGTCAAGGTATACAAAACATTTGCTCAGATTAAATTATGAATATTTCTCTAAGATTTGATAATACAAGTCCTTGTAAATATTATTTTCTTTAAAATCATTTGCTAATATTAGAATGTTTTTTTTTAATCACTTTAAAAAATTATTAAAGGAATATTTGATGTTTATTCAATTCTAAAAAGATTAAATCTGCATCTACTCAAGGCAAAGAATCTTAACATTTTTGTCACTATTTCTTGGATGAAATTATTTTCACTTTATACTGTTTTTACTAAAATGGTATTATTCAAAAATCTAATATTAATGTAGAATTTGCTTTAATCTATGGAAAATCAGGAAAAATCATTTATGTTTTATTTTATATGGACTCGCATCTTTGCAGAGAAATGCTAAAAATTCAGAATGTCAAATGTGCTCAAAACTCATCTACATTATAAAGTGCATATGGTGCATTTATTTTATATTGTTGCATTAGATATTGTTTTCCTAAGAGAAGCTGATTGGTAGTTAAAAATCTAAATAATTAAAATGTGTCTTAATTCATTTAGAATTTTAATACAGTGGATTTAATATAAAATATAAATAATAGATAAGTACCTAATTCTGTTGTTAAACATTTAATTGCATTAAGCAATCTAAATAACATTGTTTTCTCTCTCATCTCAAATTTAGTTGGCATTTCCACATTTATATCCAAGTGTTTCTTGAGAAATGTAAAACGTTCATCTTTTATTACAGATGCATCCAATTGAAGATTTTCAGGCATGTTTACAGTTTTTGCATGAGTTAGGTCATTATTTTCTTGAAGTTAAAGACAGAGATATTCGTCATGCCTTGTCAATGTTGTTTGTAGAAATCCTCCTTCCTGTTGCTGCTGTAAGTAACATACTTCTTTTACATTTTTCTTTTCCAGCCTTTTTCTCACTTTTATAATATCATTTATTCTTTCTTTCTCATATTTTCACCAGTTTTTAATGCCATTTGTAATCAATTTTTTTGAAAATTTTATATCAATTAGATACAGTAATTAGTAAAATGAACATGTTCTTATATTTTAAATAGAAATTATCAATGTTTATATTTATAAATAATAGTTTACCTCTTAAAAAATAATCATTATCTTTTGGCATAAGTCACTTGTTATGTTTATTGTAATAAAATGAGTCAATTTTTGACATCCAATGTAATTATTAGCAGAGGTGCACATAATTTGCTCAATCTGTACTTGCCACTGAAATTTATGATTCATATTTTTGATGTGATTTTTATTTCTTTTCAGAACGTAAAGAATGAAGTCAATGTTCCAGTCCTGAAAAATTTTGTTGAAATGTTGTACTCTACAACAATTGACATGGCTACAAAGAAAAAGCACACTTTGGTAAAGACAAATGCATTTTTCCCTCTTTCTCCAGGTTTTTTGTTTTATCCCAAAGTATTCACAGTATATCTACCCCTGATTAGAACTAAATAATTGCCTGTTTACAAATACTAAATATTCTAAGTAAAATCTATTATTATTATTTCATAATCTCATGTTGTTATGTGTAGCATTGCTGGTGATCCCGTCCAATTTATCTCTCACCCAAACATCTTTGTATTCTGATCTAAAGCTTACTGCTAGCCATTCTTAATATCAAAATTTATGAAGAAAATCTGTTAACAAAAATTTAATTGAAATGTTTCAATTATTTTTTCTAGCATTTGTTTCCCTTGGTGACATGTTTGTTGTGTGTCAGTCATAAGCAGTTTTTTTTCAACAATTGGCCTTATTTTCTGACTATGTGCCTTTCACAACTGAAGAATAAAGACCCCAAAATGTCCAGAGTGGCCTTAGAATCTTTGTACAGACTTCTTTGGTAAGTGACTTAATTCTACCAAAATGACCAATCCATTACAGAAATAATAAAATGTCAGATTTTTTTTTCAAAATTATTCTGTAATATTAAATTCATTTTTAAATAAAACATTTGAATTTTTGTCATTGACAATAAACACAGCTGTAATTAGTCTTACTATTATGTTTTTAAAAATAACACAGGGGAATGTGGAAAAGTTCTTGACACAATCCACTTCCCAGTATCTGACCAAACAACCAAACATCAAATTTTTTTTCTCTTAATGTATTTTCACAACACTAATAATAATGAAATAAAACATTTACTCATTCTGTTCTTCTCTTTCTTATGCACCAAGATATGAGATAAACATTCCATCATGAAAATAGGATAGAACACTAGAAGACCTTTCTAAGAGCATCTATATAAAAGTTTCATCTTGTATATAAGGCTGTATCCTTTTAGTATATGACATTAGGCATTGGCTAAATATTAAATATATTAAATATTAGCATATACAGCAAAGATATGTAGATTAACCAATTAACATAGGTGGAATACTTAGACTCTGTAACTACTCTGATTTGGAGGAAGAGAACTACTACACATGAGTATTGAGTAATAGCACGAAAAACTTAAGCTGACAGTTTTTCAAAATTAAATTAGAATACCAATAAAAATAGCAGATTACTACAGAATTTTTGAGATGAAAAATTATCATCATTACTATTATTATATTCTTTTACATTTGGACTGGATTGAATAAAAGGTTCAAAATTTTGAGATGAAACATGTTCCAAAGTGAACTCTTTAATTAAATATAAACATTCCCAGACTGAATAACATAAGAAATGGATAGAAATATTGAACATGACTTAAACACATTGTACAAGCAAGAATCTGAGAGGCTCAAGGCATACCAAATACAGAAACTACAGCAGTTGAAAGATCATGGTACAACATCCACCATAAACCTATTAAAATAGTCATCAATATCAGTAAATGCCAGTTGAGTACCTCTAAGGAGGCAGTACTGAACAAAAATCTCAAATTTGTAATCACAATACTTAAACATCTTTGTCTTGTGGAATATGAAACATGTCATCCATTATGGGCTACTGGAACACAGAAGGACCATTGCTGAAAATGTTTATGGCCAACAACTTGATTGGGTAAATGAAAGTATGTTGAAAGTATCCTTCTTTGTTAAACAGAAAGTCTTATTGGACAGCATTACAAAACAAAGATACACTCTCTACCCTTACCTAAAAATATGAGTTTGTTAGGATGGGAAGTTTTTCCACATCTTCTATGCTCACTAGATTTTCCCTTTACAGATTTTCATTTGTTTCAGTCACTAGAACATTTCATAAGTGCAGAACATTCTGAAACAAAGAAGCAGTTAAAAAACAAGATTTCTTTAAATGTGGCATTGAATATTTGCCTTCCCATTAGGCTAAAGTCATTGAAAATGAAGATGGTTGCATTTTTGATAAATGATATTTAAATAAATTTAACTTCCATTTGTTTTTTTATCATTTCTAGCAAAACATAATTACTTTCTGAACAGCCTAATAACCTTGTATAGTTTGTACTAGAAACAAATAATACAAAGACATTTGTACACATTGTAAATGAAGGAGTCTAATAAAAAAAAATGTCTTTATTTATGCCATATATGCAAATGTTTGTGCTGAAAATATTAGCTCCTGAACACCTATTTTATACCTCCTCATTTGCTGTCAGCCTTGAATGTTGATAGCTAAGTGTTACTAAGATGTAAAACTAAATACCAACATATCTGATTGATATTCACCTCTGATTCTTAATCAGCTTACCTCCTTTGCAGTGAACAATTAATCCTCTCATCATTAATTGTATAGGTAACATAACTAACCTCTTTCCTGGCCAACCTTCATGATGATTAGTATTTTCTTACATCTCACTCAGAATCATCACTTGGCATAAAAACCATGGCAATATCAACTTTTTTTCTATCCACCTTTCAAGATTTCACTCATGAACAACTTGAATAGTAAGAATTTATGAGGTCTTCAGGATATTTTTCTTATTATTGATACACTTGATGCACACATACTGGATAATTAGTTTTATTATTTAATAACTTTCTTATTTTCTGTTCAATAAAAACTTGGGTTAATTATTGATTAGCAGAATAAATTAGTATTTGTTAGCTGTGGTATTTATTGACCAATATTTCATCTTTTCTATTTTTATTATCAGTTTCTATTTTGTTTCAGTTAATTTTCTATTGGTTATCAAGTGTCTTGTTTTATGATGTCAAACAGTAATTTCTATCTAGATTTGGTGGGAAATTAAATTTTCATTTCGATAGATGAAATGTTTCCAGATAATTTCATAATCTGGCATCAGTTTGAGTCTGAAAGTTATAAATATTATGAAGAAAAAATATACATTAGGACTTTATTTAGTATTCTAATTAGATGTGAATTTATTGAGTCATCTGAAGAGATAGTATGCAGTGACATGAAGTTGCAAGGTAGATTAATGGAAGATATTCTTCAGTTTGGAATAGAAGGGTAGGTTTAAATAAAAAGTATGTTGGAAAATTTATTGAAAATTCATTTCTTTTTGGAATGAAAAAGGAGGGAGAGAAGGTTGGGGTAAATGACCAGGTTGGAATAAGCATCCAAGTAGAAAAAAGTGGAAAATAAAATAAATGGTTAGGTATCTGGAATAACAGTGGAAAAATTAAATAGTTGGGCAGGTCCATCTGTTCTAAATGTGGCAATCAGTTTGTTAGAAGGAAGAGTATAACATCACAAAAGTAGCAGCAGACAAAATGGTTGACAAGCAGTGAAGGTCTTTTTTCAATGTAAACATAAAATTAAACTTAAAATTAAAAGTAATAAAACTTTTCGTATTTTGGCATTTTTTTTTTTTTTTCATAAAGATGATAAAATGATGGCCTTAGTCACAAAATAATCTTTATTGAAATTAATGTTATCCTATTGTGATTTACAGTTGTTATTTACTAAGCTTGGTTTTTGCACAAGGTTGCCAAATTTTGATTCACAGCTTATTAAAAAGAGTTCAGTTCTTATTGATTATAAGAAAGGAAATATTACATAATAGCTTCTACTCTTTGTTTTCTCTATGGATATGAAAGTGAAAATGTTTCTTCTATAACTATTCGCAAATTCAAACAAAAAGTAAATTTTTCTATATATTTTCATCAATTCAAAACATGATGCTATAATAAATGTCAGTGAGTGAGAAAATCATGCACATATGTATTTTTCTACTTGCATACTTTGTAATAATATTTCTTTGTTGCCTATTTGATTAACTGATTCAGCTTAAGACAAACAAGAATCTTTTATTATTGTAACATTTCTTTAGTTGTATAAATTTAATTATATTTTGGCTAATCAATATTTATTCAATATTATCAAGACAATCAGAGAACAGCATGATTTTACTTGTTTTTAAGCTTCCTTTTCATTTTTCAGGTAGAATTAAAATTTGTAAATTATAAACTTATTTGACTTATTAATTTTATTTCTTCAGTAAAAATTGCTTTGAGAAATGAACATTTTGGTCAAACTTTCTATTACATGCACATAAGTGTAAACGGTCCTGAGTAAACGCAATTGAAAAGTTCTTAATTCTAAAAAAATGTCTGTCTCTCTCTTGCAAAGAAAGAGACTGACAAAAAAAATATGTTGGGAAATTTAGTTGAGATAAATAATCAGATCCTATGACTGAAAACAATTCTTAGATATGTGAGCCAAAGAAAATACTTTAAAATTTGAATATTTTTCAGTATTTGTAATCATCTTTGGAAAAATGTCTTGTTCATTGAACATTATAATTAAAGTAGACAATGCTGTTAACTTATGTATATCCCATTCCAAAAACACAGGAATGCTTGATAAAATTTAAATCAGTTTACAGATTTAAATTTAGTAGTGGAGATTGCCACCTTTTCAAAGTATGCTTATATCCAATGCTATAATTGTTGTTTGGTGGTATGGATTTTTCAGGGTGTATATGGTACGTATAAAATGTGAAAGCAATACTGCCACTATTAGCCGTTTGCAAAGTATTGTCAACAGTCTCTTTCCTAAAGGATCCAAATTAGTTACTCCAAGAGATACACCTTTGAACATTTTTGTGAAAATCATTCAGTTTATTGCTAAGGTAAGTTTGAAACATCTCTTAAAATATCTCTATAGCAAAATTATAGAAAAAATGGAAGCATATACCAAAGTATAATTTGTATATTTATGTTTCTTACTTGATTATTTACAAATGATATAAATAAAAAATATACACATTACTTGGGAAAATACTTTATTCTTTTGTTTTTTTTTTAATTTTAGTTTTTATTTTAGTATGAATCACTTGGATTCAAATTTGCAAAAATGTTTGCAAAGCAATTTTCTTTTCTAACAAAGAGATTAAATACATTTTTAATTTATTTCTTATTTATTTATTTATTCATCTTTTACTGCTCATTGCTTTAAAAAAACTTAAATTATTTTCATTTTCAATTCTGTAGTGTTTTTTGTTTCACACTGCAATCACTAATTAAAAGGCCATTCACTGCAATCACTGTTAAAAGGCCATTCCACTCATAACAAAAAAGAAATGATTTATTTAAAAAAGAGGGGTAACAAGAAAAAGATATTACAATAAATTGGTAATACTGAAATAAAATGATTAAAAAATATATAAAAAATTTGTAAAATTTTGTGTACACTTGATCTTAAACTGCTTAATATTAATTTTCAGTTATGTAAAATATTCAATATTATCATGAGATTATTTTAAAATACACTGGCAATGCAGTAACAATCAAATACCTAAATTTCCTATACTTTGAAATGAAAAGTTTTTTCTGTGATTTTTATTTTTACAGGAAAGATTGGATTTTGCTATGAAAGAGATTATTTTTGATCTTTTATGTATTGGAAGGCCAATCAAATTTCTTACACCTGAAGTAAGTATACATTTTTTAAAATTTTTCTTTTAAGGCAAATTTTATAACAATCATAATGCTCTCACTGAACCAGACTTGCAAGTATTCTACACAAGAACACTCTTAGGAAGAGAAAACAGTGAAATAAATCAAAGCAAAACTTATATGACATGGGAAACTTGCACCTGCCTCCCCTTTTCATTATCTTTCTACCTTTACAATCTTTTTTGTAAAAGCAGCAAATGATAATAAAGCAAAGTGTGCAGATAGAAGTGTTTGTTGTTTGGGCCTTCATTGGGAATATTTTGTAACAAATGATATAAATGTTTTTATATTTTTTTTTATTATTAGATATCTGTTATACTTTTGATCCTAAGTATTTAACCAAGATATTTCACATGAAAAACTAATGCCGCCTTTGATTCATACCTACTATTCCAATTGTCTTTGAAACATTTAGGTTGTTGTTTACTGAAAAGAATCCAGAATAGTTGCTGGCAAAATTCAATGTCAAAAGTCTTTTCATATAAACATGCTGAAGCATAATATTTGTACTTTATAGCTTAAACTCTTTATTATGTGTGTGTCCCTCTATATATTCATCTGATTATTTATATAATTTATAATATATACATATATCTGTATTATCTGACGTGTGTGTGCATTAAGAAATAGGCACACTGAAGTAAGTAGGAAGCACAAATTCTGTCCATTAAAAAACATTAAAACCTTGAAAGTTTGAGCACACATCCATCTATATTAAGCTGTTATTCTAATGAGTCAGAAGAAATGCTTTCAAAAGTATCTGATAATCTATCAAGAAACTCCACATTATCACATGCCATTCTGTTTTATGGGTGGGTAGCCTTTAAGTTCGGGGAACACAAGTAAGAATTTGTGCTCTAAAATTAGTTGGCATCATTTTCACAGTAGTGGGTGCTGATTTTCAAAAGAGTTCTCCTCTTCTAGATGGACCTTTATTTTGGTATAAAATACAATTTTTTTTTTAACTGTCAATCAAAAATGAAAGCAAAAATGGAGTATCAGTTCAATAAATGATGAAGAATCAGAATATAAATTACTACATTTTATTTACATGTGACATATATGTTTTCACACACATAATTTCTTTATTTAAATAAATTTTAAATAGAATATTTACAGTTGTGAGAAGAATTGTTGTTCTTCTCTTTACAATACATAATACCCATGTTTGTTATTCATACATCCCAAGAAAGACTATTCATGATAAATATATACAATTATATAACCTATATAAATTATCTATATAAATATCTGATTATTTATATAATACAAGACATATATCTGATTATCCAACAAGTATACATGTGCATGAAAGAAACTTGAGAGAAGACATACACTGTGTTTAATTGAGGTTGAATATGTTTAATTGAGGTTGAATATGTTTAATTGAGGTTGAATATGTTTAATTGAGGTTGAATATGTGAAATTAGCTTGTAAGTCTCATGAATCTTGATCAAGCCAGGAAATTTGTTTGAAAATTTCAAAAATTAAACCAATTCTTTGGCTTACTATAACTCAAGGCCACCTTTTATTGTTCTGTACTTACAGTGCCATTTGAAAGTTTGTAACTCTTGCCCCAGACATGGTCATTTTTATTGCAAAAAAATTTAAAATAAGCCTATTAAATGTGCATCCTAACACCAATTAGACTTTCCAAATAATGAACAAAAACAAAAAACAGTGTGTTTTAATTATTTATTTTAAAAATGTGATTTATTTTGCCAGAACTGAAAAAATGCAAAAATATGTGATCCCTCCTTTGTACTGGTGAAAACAAGTAGGTAATAAATTCACTTGAAACGCACATTTGGGTGCTTAATTAAAACTCAATTTAAGCTGATCAATAAAAATGAGATACTCTTAGGTAATTAGTCAGGCAATACAGATAAAAAGAGAAGGGGAAACAGCTAAGCCAACAATGCCAAGAGGAAAGGAGATATTTGTGAACATCAGGAAATAGGTATTGACTTTGACTGGAGGATGCTATACGACTATATCAAACAGATTACAGATCTATCTATTCACTGTAAGACAAATAATTTACAAATAGAGAACATTCAACACAACTGCAGCTTTACCTAGAATTGGATGCCCATCAAAACTATCACCAAGAAACACAAGAAAAATAATAATTCTGGTAAAGACCAATACTTGCATTACTTTTAGAGAGTTGAAAAACCTTTCTGGTAGCATCTGGAGTAAATGTATATGTTTCCATTGTATAGAAGGAAGTCTCTGCTCTAAATGAAGAAAAAAGCTGCCTATTTAAACTTTGCCAGAGACCACTTGAACTAACCAGAGGCTTTCTAGAAATCCATTCTCTGGACAGATGAGGTAAAGACAATTTTTTGGTCACAATCAAAATTGCCATTTTGGATAAAAGCCAACACTGCCTACCAAGCAAAGTACCTTATTCCAACAGTGAAGCATGGTGGTGGAACTTTTAAAATCTGGGACTACTTTTCTGCCTCTGGACCTGGACAACTCTGTTATCCAAATAAACATAAATTCTGTCCTATCAACAAATCCATGGATCTAAATCTCTTGGCATCAGTCAAAAAATGATAGAGAATGGGTTCAGCAATAAGACAATGGCCTTAAACATACCAGCAAAACTACCAAGGCTGAAAAGAAAGAGGATTTATACTCTGGATTGGCCTCTCTCAACTGGCTGAGCATTGCAAGAAGTGGTAAAAAGTCCTCAATGGCAGATGCAAGAGACAGAAGTACTTTGGTTGAAGTAATTGCTACCAAAGGAGACACCACACACCAACTAAAAGGTTTTGCATACTTTTGCACAAAGTCAAATTTTCAGATTTGATGAAACAATTTTTTTTTTTTTTTTTAATAAATAATTAAAATAAATTTTTTTTTTTTTTTTCATTATTTAGAATGTCTAATTGATGTTTAGATGCACGTTAATAGACTTATTTGACATTTTTTCTCAATAACAATGACCATGTCTGGAGTGGGTGGTCAAAAACTTTCAAGTGGAATTGTATGTATGAGAGATTCCATGGTTATTGTGCCAGTAGCCATATATGAATGATATTCACACAGTTTCATTGGAATCATTCGTGTGTGTCAGTCTTTAATAATTTTGATAATTTTAATAGGTTTTGGTTTTTAAATGTTATTCTTTTATAGTTTTACATTTTTTTAATAGTCATTTGTGTGTGTCTATTGTAATAGTTTTGTGGTTTATTGCTGCTGAGAAATCTTAATAAAAATATTTTGATAGTTCTATTTTTTATTGTGTTAACCATTTAGACATTTTGTACTTGTCTTTTAAAAACTCTAGTTATTTTAAAGTCTGCATTGTTTTATTCTATTTACAGAGGATGAGCATTGGATTGCGAGCATTTTTGGTGATTGCTGACAGTTTGCAGCAAAAAGATGGTGACCCCCCTATGCCCCAATCTGCAGCCAGTCTTCCTTCTGGTAATACAGTCAGAGTTAAGCGGACATTCCTGAACAAGATGCTAAAAGAAGACACAGCTAAGAACATCGGGCTTGCCTGTTATTATCCACATATCCTTAAAGCTTTTGATTCCATTCTTCGAGCTTTAGACCTGCAGGTTGGACGAGCATTCCTTCTTACTAAAGCTGAACATATTAATAAAGAGGCTGAAGAAATTATAACGTAAGCATTGTCTTCTTTTAAATATCTGTTGTCCATTACCCAACATAGACATGAGTTTCATGTATAATGCAACACCAGGTTCTAACTAGCAAGCAATAATGTCATTGTAGACAAGCATCTTTATATATTAAAATTTACAAAGGTATATCCTTTTTTGTTTTGAATATAAAATTATATGGATGAAAACAAACTGAAAGAGTTGGTTTTAATAACTTATGGTGTCTTTGTTGTTTCAGAACTTAAAAACAAATTATATTCTTCATCTTTTCCATTGTTTTGTTAGAAATCTTAAACTTTGTACTTGATAAAGTGTATAACATATGACAGCAAAGACCTGTCTGGTGGTTGAGATAATTGTGTTTTTGTCTGTTAGAAACCAAATAATACTAAGGTTTTCAAATGCTGATTTTCAAAATAGGCATACCCTTGCTACTTATACCAGTCAGTAAATCTATATACTTGTAAAATCTGTATTTCCAATACTTATAAAATGTGACAGCAACCTCATGTCATAAAATATTTTGAAAACTTTTTAGCCGTTTTTGATAAAATCCTTATTTCTTTGTAAATAAGTAAAATCCTTATTTCTTTGTAAATAAGTAAAATCCTTATTTTTTTGTCAAGCAAACACAAAAGTATAAGAGATTCTATAGAAAGAAATAACAGAAGTTGGATCTTTTTAGAAATCCATCAAATCTATTTTTTTTACAAAACAAATTATTCATTGTCCTAAGATTAAGTGGTCCACCAGGAACTAGTGGGATTTTGGCTTTAACAATCTTTTATTATCCACTGGTCACTTATTCATACATTGATTTGCTTCAGTTTGCTTAACTTTGGAAATAATTTTCCAAATTATTTAAAATATAAATTTTTGCATATAAATACTGTTACAGAAAAATCTTGCATCTAATTTGGTGATCTCAATCATATTGTTTGAATATTTGTTTTTTTTTTTAGGGGTGATCGTAAACCTAAGATTGATTTGTTTCATACTTGTGTTGCTGCTATACCTCGACTTTTACCAGACACAATGACTATCCAGGAATTGGTTGAGATGCTCACCAGACTTACAGTTCACATGGATGAAGAATTGAAAGGGTAATTGCTCTGCATAAAAGTACTTTGATATTTTCCTAACTTGAAAAATGACTAGTAATGAATAACATAATTATATATTAAAATTTATTTTATTTCTAAAATATTACAGAAAATGCAGCATAAATGTAGTATATGAAACCTCGTAAACTATGATTTGAATTTATATAAGAAATAAGATGAAAAAAATGTTAATAAATTATTTATTATGTATTCATATTCATTAGCTGCAGTTTCATTTTATTATATTAAATATATTAAAATATATTAACATATAATTCTATTATTTTTGCTTATGTTGAAAAGTTAGAAATAAATTTCTTCATATCTTCTAGTGGATAAGTGAATAACAAAATGCAAGAACTTCTTAGTGACACATTTCATTCAGAGGAGGAACTTCTTCAGACTAATAATGATTTTATTGATGGAATTAGTCTTCTACAGGAGAAGGGGGGCAAAAGTAGATATACAGTAATGTAAAATGAAACATGTGAACAAAACATATTGTATTGATTATACAAACATATCAATAATAAACATAGCAATCCCTCAAATGTTCAAACTCTCTGCCCTGTCATTCACACATTCCTCTTTATCTGCCAAACAAAAAATAATCCAAGTCACATAATAAAGGACATTGCAGGAATAGTTCACAGATCTCATTTAAAAATACTTAGATATATGAATCACTATGATATTTGGACACCTCATGATTTAATGGAAAAACTTTAATAGACCACATTTCTTTCTGCACTTCTCTGCCCAAACTGAACAAAAACAACCCATTTTTTGAAATGAATGATCACAGTTGTTGAAAAGTGGATCATTTACAAAACTGATCTACATCCAAAGAGGGTGATGCTGTATATCTAGTGGAATTGGAGGGGCATTTTATATTATAAGCTCCTTCAACAAAATCATATGTTGAATTCAAACAAGTACTGTTTAAAGGTAGCACTATGAAAAGCATCCACAGCTGGCTAATCAGAATGTCATCTTCCCAACAGGAAAATGCCACACCTTACATCTCTTTGCATACCTGGCCAAAATTGGTACAGCATGGCTGAGATGTTCTTTTACACCCACCTACTGACCTGACCTTGAACCATAGGTTTACCACTTATTTCAATCCTGACACAATAATGTTAATGGAAAGTGCTTCAAGTCTGTGGAACCTGTAAAACCTCTTTTTCATTGCCAAGAAAGATTTCAAACATGAAATCATGAAGCTATCTCAAAGATGGAAAAAGTCAGGAACAAAGTGGCACATATGTGGTTGAATAAATCTATGAACAGATATACAAATATTGTCCTTGAAATTCACTTAAAAATGCTACAGACTTTTGTTCCAACCCAATATATGATATCCGTTTTTATGAATAATGCTCTGCCACATGTAAAATAAATGTAATTGCTATACAAAATATATATGAGGCAAAATTAAAGTAATTAACATTGCTTTTCTTATTCTTCCATGGTAAATTTGTCTTTTTGCTAAGCAAAATAGTCTGTTACTCACATTTCTATTTTATCTCTAAACTATTTTCAATTTTTTTAAAGATTGGCTTTCCAAGCACTGCAGAATTTGATGCATGAGAATGTTCATTTCAAACAACAGGTCATCAAAGGTAAATAAACAAAATTCTATCCTCTTCTACATCCATATTGATTTGTGTTTAGTTCTTAAGCTAAAAACTATTAATTATTTTCTTTTTTGTCTATTTTTAGATCCCAAGGAATGTTGAATATAAAGATTTAGAATTTATTTAGTTTCTTCTTTGTTATTTATTGAACAAAATTAAAGAACAAATTACTCATATATTTAATGGTCAAGAAAACAGAAATTTAAATTTGAAAATAAAATGAAAAGTAATAATCAAGAAAAGTGGAGCAAGAAAATATTTTCAGAATCCATAGTTATGAATATAAACAGAAAAGATGCAGAATATTAAGAACATTGACTAAAGATATGAAAACAATCAAACTACCATCTTCATCTCAAAGACAAACCAGTAAGTTAAGTAAATAATTGCATGAAAATTCATTTCTCAATAGTAATTTTCAGTGAAAGGACCTGAAACATTCAAATCTAAAGTAAGATCAAAACTAGCCAAGATGAACAGGAACAAAAGGGCTAGGTGTGATTATAATAAAGATGCTTATCAGCCTGTGAAGATTTCAATGCTGACAAAATTATGGAAATAATAAATGAATTATACAACAATGGCGGCATCCCGAAATACCTTAGAAGTCAGGTGTAATTGAATGCAAGCTCCATAGTACAGTCAGCTTAATGAGACACATAACTAAGCTTATTGTCTAGATTCTAATGAATGAAGCACAGAATTAGGCTGGAAATAGTGTGGCTTCTTTTTTAAGACACTGGAACAAGAAATGCAATCATTATGATCAGAATGCTATCAAAGTAAGCAATATAAATACAGAAAGATGTATACATATGCTACATAGACTATGCAAAAATGTTTGATAAGATACCACACAAGATATCTATTTGAACTATTAGGAAAACTTGGTCTATTCATGAAAGATATTAGAATAAACCAGAACATTTACTGGGAACAAACTGCCTGAATATTAGATAAAACATGAATTGAGCAAGTACGCAAAAATAAGAAGAGGCATAAGGCAAGGATGCATCTTTTCACTGGATGTATTGAAGCTTTACAGTGAGGTGATCTCAAGAGAACTAGAAGTTTTACCAAGATTCATTATTAGTGGGTGCAAGCTTAACAATATAACATAATCAGATATCACTGCATTGATGTCAGGCATAGAAAGGAAATTTCAGGAACTTCTAGATAAGGCAGTAAAGAAAAGTGAGAATACAAAATGTATGGTCATTAGCAAAAGGGACAGCCCAAGATGTCAAAATAAAGCAAGAACAAAAATTTAACTATCTGGAAAGTGTTATAACAAATGATAGAAAATATAACAGAAATAAAAAGGCATATTTAAATGGTGATAGTTGCCTTTCAAAAACTAAACATAATATTAAGAAACAAGAAAATTTTGTTGGTAGTGCCCTCATCTGTTATGTGATATCAATCGGTGGATGCTAGACAATTAGCCACACAAATGAAGAGGAGATTTAAAGCAACAGAAATGGGGTTCTACAGAAGGATGATGAAAATAACATACAGGGAACATGTGAGCAGTGAGAAAACTTTAAGGGAAATAAAAAGGATAATTGTGCTTAGGATCAGAAAGAGTTGAAAGTTCTGGGATACATAATGATAAAAGAGGGCTTTGAGAATTTGACACTCACATGACATAATGAAGACAAGAGATGCAGGAGGAAACATTGAGTAACTTTTCTAATGGGCTTGTGTAAATGGATTCCAGAACAGGAAGTCAGAGGGATAGTAAGGGGACAAATATTGCTTAGAGCTACAAAGGATAGGAAGTTGTGGAGAGCCATGATCGCCATGTCCTGAAGGAACACAGTGTGTAAAAGATAGCCAAAGTCATATGTGTTGTATCTAGTACAGATATAACACAAGTGGTATTTTTCTTTATGCATCCAGGATTTGTAGTCTGCTATAAGTTTAGGTTTATTGTACAATTTCAAATTAGCAGAAATATTAGTTTCCAAGGATGTGCTTTTATGAAGAAACAAGAATTTTCAATTCAATGTGCTTATTTAATGAATTCAAAAAACTGAATCTTTGTATTTATTAACAATATTTCCCCTTAAATGCAATAGCCTTTTTTTAACACTACTGACTCTTGTTTATAGGTTTTGTCCTTTTCATTCAACGTGACATCAGTGATACAAGTCCCTCCTTGCTGGATGGTACCCTACGCATGTTGGTACAGTTATTGGTCCACTGGAAAAACTACCATAGTCCTCAGCACAAGGCAAGCAAGAAAAAGGTAAAATTACAAATGGAAGTTTCTGAAAGTAAATAGTAAATGTTTTTCCTCATTCACTCATTGTAAACCATTTATTTATTTTGCTCTTGCAATTTCATTATCATCACTCTAATCTGAATGAGTGTCATTCAGTAATCTTTCCAAAATGTTATAATTTCACCCATTTGATCATTATAACTAATAAAAACAATTTATCTACATTACATAATAACTTATAGCCTTGGAAAATTATATTTTGTATTATTTATTTGAATCCAAGGATATTTTCAGTATTTTTTTATATTGATAAAATAGTTTGTTAGCTTAATTTTGAAATTGGTAACCAAAATTAAATAATTTAATACTGTTGGTGATAAGTATATGTATATTACTTTTCTTTGTAGGTTTTACAAGAGAATCAAATTTCAGCTATTCCTACTCCCTATTCTCAATTGACTGTCCTTCATGATGTTGAGGGTTTGGCTTTAACAATGCTCTGCAGCATCCGATTAGTCACTCGTAAATTAGCCCTCCTCCTTCTTAAAGAAGTACGCTGCATCTTCACAAATTCTGGAAATATAGATTTACAGGTAATATTCTTTATAGTGATTTAATTTTTCCTTTACTTAAATAATACAAAGGAAAAAAGATTTCAGTATTTCATGCATGAAGTAGTGCATTTTATATCAAAGAGATGTTGTCAATCTGTCAAACAATTTGATGAAACCAAATTAAAATCTGAGTTGAGGGATCTAATTAACAAAGCTTATTGAAAATGGAGAAATTATTAAATGTAGGCTTAACTTGAACTAATTGTATATAAATATTAAGAATTAAGTATAGATAACTTTTGACACTGAGATCTAAAACATGATTCACTTTACTCGCTGAGTTCAGCATAAAAATGAAATATTTAAATAGCAAATATGTAACAGAAAAAAGAAAGCAAACTTTTTATGAGATGCTTTAGCATGTTTGCAACTGATATGTTGTATAGCAGTAACCTTTACTATTTATATAAAAAGAATAATTTATAAAATCAAATGTCATTGTGTGAAATTCTGCCTTAAATTAAAACTGCTACAGAGAATTTTCTAATGGAGGATTGTTTGAACAATAAACAAAGAAACTAGTGGCACCAGCATTTCAAATTGTCATTGTTGGATATTCTTCCCAATCTGAAATTTGGATGTCCTGCCACATCAACAAATGAGGATCAAATTGATAAAGTGCATGCTGTCACCTGTGGAAATTTTCACCTTATTCTTCTTAAAGTTTTCAAATGTTCATGCCACATGATTTTAAAAGAAAACCTGATGATGCATTGTGTTGCCACAAACTCTGTCACATCTGCTGAGAAATGAATAAAACAAAATGTATCACAGTCAGTCAGGAGTTGACTAATTAAAACTTTCTAAAAAATGTAGTAGGTGATGAAACCTGTGTGTGTAGCTATGATTTTAATATAAAATTGAAACCAATACAATAGGTTGGAATGTTATCACTGCAACCAGAAAATAAACTCATGTTAGACACATTTAAATATGAAAGTGATGTTGACTGTCTTCTTCAAGTTGATGGATAGTAAAGTTTTACTTGGTGGTCCTGAGGTGTTTGAGAAAAGCAGTGTAAAAGTTGAAACCTGATATATGGACAAAGAAAATGTGAATACTGCACCATAATGTTCCTGCTCACTCATTACTCTTTATCTGTGAATTTTAAAAATTTGAAATACCTCTCTAGATTTAACCACTGTATTTTTTTTGTTTCCTAAGCTGATATTCACCAATATCTGTCAATTTCAGATATTTCCGATAAAAGAGTTAGGAAAAAATTTTCATATCTAAGCATTATCCCTTAAAACTACTTCCAGAAAAAATTCCAGAATTAGAAAATGTTTGGAATAATGTATCAACAGTGGAAGTGATTATTTTGAAGGAAACAAATCTCATTCACCTATAGGTAAATCAATAAACTTGTTTTCAAAAACATTTGGTTTCTTTTTAAATACATCTTGTATAGTGAAGAGTTTGTATTAAGCTAATCATTTGTTTGTCTTATAAAATATTAAAAACAATATTTTTACCATTTAATGACATTTCTTTTGTTCAAGATTTTAACTGTCACCAACATCACAAATTGGTTTCACAGGTCATTTACTGTAACAAATATAAAATAATAATTTGTTACACTAATTTCCTTAGAATTAGACTCTTCCCTAACATATTACCAATCAACAATAAAATCACCATATAAAATTGCTACTAAAGTTTTCATTATTCTATTTTAGTAATAATTGCTAATCATCTCATTGCTTAATTTAGGAAGTCCATAACACATTAACCTTTTTTTTTATGAAAATCTGAACTGGAAAATTGTCATTTGTTTTTAGACACAATTTCATTGTTAAGGAAACAATTTTACTACTTATCTATCATAATGGCTCAATTGTTTTTTTTTTTTTTCATTTCATATTGTTAGCAATTCTTTTTCTGAATTTGATTGATTGATTTGTTTTTATGGCTTCTCAACCTTTTGTAGGCTATTTAAAACCAAAACATGTTGGATTTTAAGAATAGCTTTTTTTTTATTTATATTTTTTTTGCAAGTGAATAACATCCTGAAAATAACAATGATTTCTTCAGATACAAATCCTACTATTTAAACCTTAGCTGGGGAGAAGATGGATCCATACTTTTCCCAAGGATATTTGTGCATAAATGAATGTAATGAGGCTGACTGAGAATTCAAACTTAGCTTCTCTAATTTCTCTTTCTGAACTGCTAGCCATTACGCCACCTGTACATCTACTTTTTTTTCTGAAAGCATAAAAATAAATCTTGCCCAGATATGAGCATAAAAATCTGTAATTTAATCAAATTTTATATGTTGCTATTTTACATTTCATTTTTAAATTTGTTTTTATTACAAATGATCTCTATCCACACACACACATTCACACATACACTCACACACACATTCACACATACACTCACTACCATAGACTTTTACCTCATGGTTCCTTCTCCCCAATAACATTATTTACTCAGTTGACCTCTTCATAATCATCATTATTTTTATTATTATTGCTACTATTAATACCAATGGTATGGTTAGCAAATTAACATAAAGTACCAATAATGATCAATCATACCTAAATATGCCTCAACACACTATTGTCATTAACTGCAGAAGAAAGATAAGTAACTGAAAGAAAATATTGGTAATGGTAAAACAATAACCTGGGGAATATAATATTAAAGCCATAGAGAAACATTGGCCAAATAAAAGTGACTGGTGAAAAGATGGGAGTGTTTACAATGCAGCAAGTGATTTCAGTAAGGCTGCTTGTTAACAGTAGATACAACAACAACAGTACTGATTGAGTTTATAGAATTTTACTGTCAAGAGTATGGCTGTAAGAGATTAAGCTACACCATTCAGTACAAGCTACAATTGATAGACTACATTATTGAGTCCATCACTTGGAAAAATATGATAGATGTCTTGCAATAGCTATGAAAAATCAACTAAAGACAGCTAAGAAAGATAAATGTAAGCTTTGTTGCCCAGCATTAGCCTGTACTTGAGGATGACAAGTAAGTGGTAGATCAGAAGCATTCAAGAATTATTTCTACCAAAATGATAATTAATGAAAGCAGGAGATTAGCAGGATCAGAAGGTTGGTGTTATTGGCTTATGAAACAACAGGATTTGTCAAGAAATACAGCAACATCCATTGCACAGAAAATACCAGCTGATTATGAAGGAAAATTTTTTTTTTAAACTATAGCAAATATAGATCATGGAAAAAGTTCCACTAATACTTGATGTTCTTATATATATATAATTTTATACAGCAAAAATCCAAAATTACCTCATGTGGGTATAGTCTATTTCAGACCAGCACAACCATATGCCAGTCCTCCTCAGCTCTAGACTGACTGTCTCGGAAAAAGGGTTTGAATTTAATTTAGATAGCAGTCAGTGAGAACGTACAAGGCTACTTAAGAGGACATCTTGTTTTGATAATGAGTCTGGGTTGGTGACAAGGAGATGGGTCAGAGTGGGAGTTTACTTATGGCCAAAGCCTTTAATTGTATGTAAATGAATTTAGGTTCCTGCTAATGGATTATATTATTAAGGGGATGGGGGATTTTAAGACAAGACAATTTAAAGTTAGAATAAATTATCTAAATAATAGATTCTCAAAATCTGTAAGTAATACCAAGACACCCAATGGAATAAATCATGTCGTACAACACATACACATACCTACATATGCATACATATAACATACATACACATATATGTATACATATATATATGTATATATACCATCCATTTACATTATTAAGGTTCTGTTATATTATTAGGAATACCAAGCTGTGCCCAAAATTCTTTAAGAGGAAGATATTAAAGCAAAAATTTAATCAGAGGGGGTTGCATTAGTTGCCGGGATGGGGGAGACTGTTGTTTTTTTTGGTAGTTAGTAAGTAATAAGGTAAGATCTATAATCTTATATAAGTTTGAACCTGCTTCTGTGCCTACATTTTAATACTAGCTTTCTCCTTTGATCTAATAGTTTGCCTTGATCATTGTATTTTATTATTTTAATTTAGCTCTCTCTGTGGATCAGTTTTAATATCTGATATTAATAGGATCAGTTTTGACCACTCTCTGTGGATCAGTTTTAATGTCTGATATTACTAGGATCCACCTGGATTATATATTAATGATCTATTAACTGTACTTATATATATATATATATATATATATATGGTGGACTCTCCTATTGTGACATCCACCGGTCATGATGTCAATATATGACACTGCGCTATTGGCCCATGGTCAACTCCCAGTTGCAGCATGAAGCTGTAAGGTTTCTTCCACCAGAGTTTGGGGTTGACTTGTTGTCGCTGCCACTAGCCCGTATCCCGGTCGATCTGGTCGTTCCCAGTTCGATACCAACTTGTCATTCCCAGCTCACTTCCAACATCTGGTTACTGAAGTAACTACTTTGATCTCTAGTCTAACCTACCCACGTTGTGATTTTGATCTTAGGTAGACGAAATCAATCTGGCATCGGGCCGTAGTGCAAGCTGAATCCGGGGTAAAGGTGATACCGCACAAGTGTAAGTAAAAGAAAATAATAAAAAAAACTCACAAGGTTCAAATATGTTGAGAAATAACAATTATCTTTATCTATCTGTTGAATACAGGAGTGTGTTTCTCTCCTGGCCCATTTCTATGGATTCGTGACAATTTTTGCATTTCTTAAGAAAGTTATGGTATCTTAAATCGTTCGTCAATAAAAACTTGGTTTTGGTAGGAAGACTAAGTCGAAAAGGACGTGAAAATCTTTCGGTCAGCCTCTGCAAGGCAACACTCTCAAACTAACACCAAACTCGAACTGTCTGGAACTCCGAACTCCCTGAAACTCTGCCCAAAACTCTGATCAGCTGCCTCGAGACGTTTGTTTATATGGACACCAACCAACTCTGGGGTGGGGCCTGACGTGGTTTGGGTTCTTTGACAATTCTCAATTCCCAACAAGAATTCTCTTTGTTCTTAGGCCAGGAAAATTAATTACTTCCCATTTTTGGAAGATTAATCACTTTCCATTTCAGGGGTTTCTCCCTCGTCCGTAAGGGAAGGTCGGAGGAGAGTTATCCTCCCAGACTCTTCCTCTCTCACATTGGTATTTCATACCAATCCCCTAAGTGGGTGTCAACAACTTCTCCATTTTCTCATACATTCACCTTCGCCTATCACCCATGCTACCAGTTGACCAATGATCTCTCAGCAGTGTGGGTGTGGCCCTCATGTTTACAAAATCCTTTTTTTCTTTTTCCTTTTCCTTCGGCCAAAATATTTACAAATCCCAGATTGCCGAATAATTCTTTATCACATCGTAATTTTGGGGGACACCCAAATCCACTTAGCCCGGGCCTCTATTGACTCATTAATCATTGTCAACACCCGACATTTGGCTTCTCCGTTATTCAACTTTTAACTGAGTGGTCAAATTCTTTATTTTTCTCATGCCTTAAAATTCTCTTATCACCAGATGCTCATTTTCAAGACACTATGTCTTACGTCAACAGTTTGAATAAGCAATAATAATGATCCCCTTTTCAACTCTCTTTTTTCATGTCAAGATTCGTACACAGACCAGATGGCTTCCCTTGCCGGAATCAGGAATTAAAGTTAAATGATATCTCTGAAAGATAATTAATAGCTATTCTCCACGGTGGTCCCAAGCCAAATTTTCTCCATGGCCGCATGCATTGGCCAGCTTTGTTTTTCTATCTGAATTCTGTTTATATTGGCGTGTCACCCCCTTATCATGACATTAATTAATTTTGACAGAATCACAGTCCCGCTGTTTTTTATGGATTTTCTGTCTTTTGCGAAAAGTATCTTTCTTTTGTCAATAAAATAAATTCTTTTTTTTAATGTCGCTAAGTCTATCTTTCGATATAGTTCTTTCTCACCTTAAGTATTTCCCCGTTTTTAATTTCTATGGTTAGTTAGTTAACCAATTACCATAGCTAAATAGTGTCACACTATCATGAACAATAAATGAGGGTCAGCAGTAGATGTTGCCTTTCATTTTACACTTATGCATGCTAGCAGGGGCTATTGTGGAGAAAATCACATAAGTGTGACTTTGCTGCGGGCAACGAAGTCACACTGACAAATGAAATTTGTTAAAGCAGGATTTTGATGGTGTCTATGCTTCAGAGCTTGATAAAGCTGATCACAGTGCTTCAGTCTAATTGTCTTCAAAACCCTTTAACTTAATGAAACATGTCTTATGCTACTCGTTTTGGTTTGATGATTGGGTTTCCCAGATTTTCAGATCAAAGTTGAGACATTTCAAGTTGTCTTTCAATTTATCTTTGTAGCGTAAGAGTGGATGCCCAACTGAACACTTGGAGTTTAGTAGTTGTCCATACAGCACCTTTTTTGGAAGCCTATGCTCATCCATTCTTACAACATGACCAGCACACCTAAGTTGTATCTTTACTAGAATGGTTTCAGTGCCTGTGATGTTGTTACATTTTTTCAGAATTGCACTATTCTTGACCCTGCCATCCCATTTTATACCACATATAGCACGAAGACAGCACATGTGAAAGGCATCAAGTTGATTTATGTGTTTGTGGTACAAGGTCCAAGTTTCAGCACCATAGAGAAGCATAGAGAGGAATGACTAATCTGTATCGATCTTTACTCGGAGAGACACATCTTTGGTATTCCATAACCTATGTTTAAGATTACCGAATGCTGTGCTGGTTTTGGCTATTTTGGATTGGATTCCTCTGTCCATTTTTCCATCAGAAGAGACTGTTGATCCAAGATATGTGAATGACTTAACAGTTTTTAATGCCATACAATCAATGAATAAGAAACGATTTGTGAGATATATAATCAGAATCAATAAATACACGTTTATTGTAATCAAGCAATGTCTACAAATGATCATAATTATAAATTTTGAATGAACGAAAACCTAATTGAAATTCTTGGTTTACCTCTTTTTATAGGCAAATGAAGTGTGCTTGTTAAGCTTGATGGACAGAAGAAGTCCTGCAGCACTCAAAAATTTACTTCAATACCTCCCATCTTCTGAAAAGGTCTGTTCTATTCATTGTATTTCATATCGTTTATTCTTTTATGTAAATGTATTAGTTTCCACAACCTTTCCTGTTTATAAAGTATTTAGGAAATCATTGTTGCATTAATTCATTCATTTATAGTGTTTATATACTCATTTTTTTGTGTTTTTACACACAAATCTATCCTATCAAGTACTTATTTTTATAGAAATAGTATAATTGTCTATCAAATATATGTATGTGCATATATAGACTTCAGTTCTAGTAAGAGTTAAGTAAAATATTAAATTATATATTATTTTTATGCTATTGTTGGATTTATTTAATTTTTTAAAATGAGATAGTGCAACTCACCTGCTTCTTTTTTCATGTTTCCCATCTCTAGACTAAATTCTGAAGAGAAATCTGAATAAAACCAATATAGCTAACCATAATTCTTTTAAAGTAACAGAATTTCATAGCTTGTGTGTGTGTGCATTGTACACCTTAACACTAATTGTATGTTAAATCTTGTCAGGCTACCTCCAAAAAACATGTAAAGTAAATCTTTGTCCTTTTCATGGCAAATTGTATTTTATTCAACAAGTTTGAAAGCTAAGAATATAAAAGCATCTCATATTTCTGAAGAAATTTAAGATGTTAAAATTCACTGAATATTCAGAATCTTATTATCTCATTACAGTAAATATTTTCATTATAAATAATATTTGATTTTTCATTAATTTAAGCTTTTCTTCCAAGAACTACTATAGGTTCTTGTATAATTTGACATCCCAAGTCAAACACAAATATATATTAAAATATCATTATTTGCTTTCATATATTAAAATATCATTATTTGCTTTTTTTGAGAGCTAAAATTTAAAAAAATTGCCTTAGAGTATTAAAATTTTAAATTTTCTCCTTTTTGGTCAAATTTTTTCTAAAAGAATATTTTTATGGTTATATGTGCATGATCTTTCCAATGTCAAATTAATTAAAGGGAGTAATTCTGAATTCCAAATTTTGCTTTAATATAACATATTCATGAAATTTCTTTTTTGTTTTTCAATAGGTTATTATTCTCACAACTAGTCATATTGATCTTCAGTGGGTACTTGACAGAGCAGCAACTGTATGGTCTACATCAATCAACCAGGAATCCCCAGGAATTCATCAGTATATTAGGGCCACTACTCCCATTGGTCAAATTGACCCATGGATTCAGTATCTTGTTGATCTTGTCTCTTCTTTCCTTGTACTAAATCAATGTCAACAAGCTTTAGCTCAAGCTTGGAATATCATCTATATTCGATTACAAGCTTTGTTTCCTTTCATTGATCCAAGGTATGTAAGGAAAAATGGATTTGGGCTTTTACTGCTTTATCTCTACCTCACATTTTTCTTTTGTTTTCTTTTTATAATTTTGGGCTGGAATGGGCACAGGTTGCTTTGATATAAATAAATATACATTCACAAATTCATTTGATTAAAATATTCATGTGAATAGTGCATATGTAACTAAGAATTCTCTATACTGAATTGTATCAAAAAAGATTTGTGAGTTCTGTTCTTAGCCAAAGCACTGTTTATTTAAAATAACACAGAAGATGTCAATCAACTCTTGAAATGTTCTCTTTCCTAATTTTTCTAAAACTAATTCTTATTTTTATGCTAGAAATGCACAGTGTAATATTAAATTTTATCTGCATTATACAATGGTAACTTAGCTGTTTTGTTTTATTTATTTTTTAAAATTCTCACTGCTATGAATCAATTTTCTTATTACTGTGCCATTTTACCTGAATGTTTCTGCTTCATAACAAGTCATGGAATAATATTTAAATAAATTTAAAATAAACAGTTGTTAACAGAATGAAAAACCAATTTTCTATTTGGAATGTTCAAAGTGGAATTTTTTTTTTATCCAATTTCAGCTCTGGCTAAGATTAACGTATCATATTTATTTTTCAAATATCCAATCTAATGTTTTCAAATTATATAAATATTATAATGTATAAACATACAAAAAGTCTATTTGTTCTTAAATGTGCCTCCAAGACTGTCAATCAGAAATAGATTTGCAAAATTTGGCTTAGTGAAGTAATTTCATTACTTTATTTTAATTATTTGTTGCATTTTTCATATACATTAAAAATTAATTTAATTACTGATTAGTTCCTATATTCATGTACTCATTCTTCCAACCAGGTTAAAAATAAAACAGAACTTCAATAAATATTTGACTGTATTAATTCTCAAGTTTTACATGATTATAGAAGAATTATTCTAGACAATATGTATCACTTATCAGTAAGTTTTAATATACTCTGCATATCAGTAGAGTTCTTCTGAATATATGTGTTCAGGACAGATCCATTAAGGGGGGGAGATGGATCATACCACATTCACACCTGCCTTATTCTTACAGAGGGAAGAAGTCCCTGAATCAATCAGGCATTCTTTGCTGTCCACGAGGCCATGGTGGATTGTCAGGAGCATGATGAGGTTCTTCCTCTTTTTCACTAGAACTGGATTTACTGGATTGCTCATCCTCTGAAGTATCAGTAGGTGGGTGACCTCTCTTCTCTGAAGCCTGTTCGTCACTACTTGAGGGACCAGAGCTCAAGGGTTTCTTTAATCTTCATAAGGAGACCATGTTTCTGTTTCTTTGTAGTCCATTGAAGTGTCCTGAGGACAGCCGTCAATTAAGCTTGTGGTTCCTGATTCATCCCCTGCTGGAGCGAAGTTCCTTAATGGAAATGTGTCTTCTCATCTGTCAGGGTAACGGACATGTGCATGCTGGGGGTTGGTGTCTAGAAGCTCCATTTGATCCACTAGTGATTCATTCTTATTCAGTTGCACATGTCTTTTTAGTAATATTACTCCCAGTTTTGACAGCTAAGATGGTAGGGACACTCCAGTGGAACTTCTAGGAAATGGGAGGAATCATACATGGGGTGTTGCATTAGTGGCAGCTCATAGCAGCATTCTAATTGTATGCAGGGCCTCTGGAATTAGGTATTCTCAATTCTCTAAAGCTACCCCTTTATCAGCAGCTGCTAGTTGAACAGTTTTCCAAATTATTCTGGATCAGGTTTTATGTTATAATGTACCTGATAAATGATATTTTACAAAATTGATAGTTTGCCACTGGCCTCAAAGGCCTTATAGAGTTTATCGCTGGGCCTTATAGCTACCTGATGGCAGGCACTTTTGAAGTCCAGAGTACTAAATAGATTGTTTTTGACTATTTTCTCTATCATATCGTCTATTCTTGGCAGAGGGTAAGCATCCAGCAAAGTAAACCAGTTCATTGTTTGGGTATAGTCGATTACCATTCACTTTTTTCTGTTCTCAGAGGAGACTACAAAGGCTTGGGCTCTCCACAGCAATTGTTTGGGTTTGATTATTCCTTCCTTCAACATACGAGTAACTTTGGTTTGGATAAATAATTTATTCTCCTCAATGTTTTGCATAGATTTAGTGGCTACTGGTTTACAATTGAAGAGAGCTGTGTATGGCATTCTCAAAGCTGCTAGGCTGTAAATTTTAAATGGTGGCTTAGAACCTCCGAAAGGGTATTTCTACTAATGAGTGTTGGCATAAATAGTTGTGTCCTAATATTAGGTCACAGAATAGATCTTTCATTAGTAGGCATCTTACTCCTTGGTAATGAGTACCCTTTACTTGTAGATCAACTAAACAAGTATTTGTATGGAAAGAGATGAGCTAGCCATTGCCACCTTGTTTTGGCATGGGTCAATTTTCCGCAAAATTAATTTCGCAATGCTTGCATTAAGAAAGTTTTCTGTGCTCCTTTTGTTAATCAGTGCTTTTAGTGGCTGTTCATTAGCAGTGATTTCTATCATTGGAGTTGATAAGCTGCCAAGTATTTTCAATGATGCTGAACAAGTTACCATTTTTCTCCTCTTTATTTTACTTTTAGACTAATGTCCTTGATTTCCACATAGCATTTGTCCCTTCTAGCTGGGCATAAAAACCTTGTGTGTCTCTTGCCCCTGTGGAAAAAAACATGTGCGTTTAGTTAAGGCTGATATAATCTGTCAATGTAGTCTGACAGCAGTTGATGCCTTGTAACCAGCAAGTATCTACAGACCATTTCATTTTTCTTTTTAATGTAGACCCCGTCCGGTATTGCTAAAGCCTCTTTGTAGGAAGATGGATCCATGAAATACTCATAAACTTGTGCTGAGACATATTTAGTGAGATAGTGTAACTTTGGTCACAGTACATGCTCAAGAAGTTCATAAAAGTTACTCTCCAGTGACATTATTCAAGTTCAGCTCAATATTAAGTTTCTCTAGGCAAAGTAAATTAGCCATTTTCAAAATGATTAACAAGAGTATATTAAATTGTATTAGAATTGTTCAAGACAATATATATGACTTACCAGTAAGCTTTAATATACTCTGCATATCAGCTCAGGTCTCTTGAATATACGTGTTCAGGACAGATCCATTAATGGGGGAGATGGATCATACCACAATGACATCAACAAATCCTTATTCCTTTTGGTAAAGGGGAAATTCCTCTCAGACAGCTTCTTCCCCAGAACTGTTACTTTGTGTAACAAACTCTCAAGAGGATGCTTCTCTGACCAATGCATTCTTAACCTCTTCAAGACTAGGATCAACCATTATCTATCCTACATATCCTCATAATATGCACTTCTTACCTCCTCCCTTTATGCTCTTACAACCTCATTCAGTAACACTCTACCTTGAGTGACTCTTTGGCCTTTTATTGGGTGAACAGTAGTATAAAAAATAGGTAATTCTTTATTTCATGATAATAAATGTGCATTTTTTATATGAGGGGATGCTGACAAGTTCTCAAGAAAGCCAAGGAGGGTTTTCAAATAAATGTTGATGTTTGTTCTTTTGGCCAGATTTTGGAAAGTAGGCCAGACTGAAAACTTTTCAGCATCCCCATGTACATTATATGGAAATACATAGACAAGAAGAAAACAAGATTTTTGCATGCCAAAACAGTTTTAGAATTTTTTTTTAAACTTCTCATTTCTAACATGGATGTGCAGGTGATGTAATTGATAGGGTCTCAAGTGTTAGAAATCAGAGAGCTGAGTTCAAATTCCAGTCGTGTTTGTAACATCCTTGCGAAAAGTATGAATCCACCTCCCCCAGCTATAGGTTAAATAGTGGTATTTGTATCTGGAAAAGTCTCCAAAAAATTGTTAATGCAATATTAACTTGCCAGAAAAATAGTTATTCTTATAATCCAAAATGTTTCAACTTTAAATAACCAACAAAAATTGAAAAACTGTTTAAAAAAAAAAAAAAATTTATAAAATTTATAAAATGTACTGCTCAGCAGTATTAGATAACTTTCATGACAATGTTTAATTCTAAATTTTTATTTTTTTATTCAGTGTTCAAACGAATGATAATCGTACTTCCCTAATATTAAGGTCTGGCAGCAAGAAAGTAACAAATGATGGTGATTTTTATCTTCACCTCTGGCATAACTATGTGGTCTTAGCCTGTACTCTTGCACAACAAGTGAATCCTCACCAGAATAGTTCCATAGATTCAAAGTAAGTAAACTTGATTAAGTTCTAAAATCTATTTGTTTTGTGTGAAATAGTTTTTGTTTTTTTCAAAAAATCATATTTTAATAACACTGAATACATGTAAATTATTAACAAACCTTTAGTAATTTGTTAGTAATAATTTAATTTTTGAAATGCATTAAATTATTGAATGGTAATTATTTGCTGGTTACATTGATTATTGTTTGCAGGACTGAGAAGCAATAATTTTGATTCAGTTTACATATGAGCTAACTCAAGAAAATTGTTTATTTTGATTAATTTTTTTAAGCAATTATTTAATTCCTGTGATATTTAAAAGAAAAAAGAGGCTGAGCGATTTCACTTTATGCTAATATTGATTTGGCTTTATATAGGTATATACTTTTTTACCCTTTCCAGATAAGCAGCCAGATCAAAGCTGGCCAAACACATTTTTGTTTACAACTAAATCTAATATAAGCCAGTTGGCCATAGAGAGGTATACACTATTGAATCAATCTGAGTAATTTGGTGGCTTCCATATAGCAGAGGCATGCTTTGAAATTAGTAATTTAATTTATAAGTTTCATAAGTTTAGTTGATCAAATTTTGATACTATGACATAGAATTATGAACGCCCTGGAGGCCTTTTTGTCCATTCTTGACAGATTATTTGTTTCAAATTCTGATGAGCAATGACAAGTGAATGTACTGTTCATGGCAATACATACTGTAGGCTAATTGACAATTTTAATGCATTGTTTCCATGGAAACAACCAAAACCATATATTCAAGAGTAAAAATATCTCTAACATATAGCCTGAGTGTAATCATTCCAGCATATATATGTTAGAAAGAGATTAACTTACCCAGATGGAATTTAAGTTTGAGTTAGATTAAAGCTAATAAAATTTATAAAAAAATTTAGTTTGAAAATAAATCATTCAGTGTTTAGACATAAATTTTGCTTTATGGGTAAGAAAAATAAAAAAAAATTGTTATTCTGTAATCACAATGACTTAATTGATTCTTCTGTTTAACAGAAACCACAGCAATTTTTATGCATTTAATTTTCTTCTCTTTTTAGTGGTTCACTTGACAGTATTAATAATAACAATACCTCTGAAAAATCAGAGAGCAAATCAACCACACAGAATTCAGAATCACAAGCACAGAATCTGTTCAAAATGCTAGTGCCACTTTTAAAATGTGACAATTCTGAAATGAAAGATTATGTTGTAAATGCTTTGGGGCATACAAACCCAGCTATCATCAAGTAAGTGTTTTTTTTTTCTTTTGTCATGATACCCTTTTTGTGTTTCTTAGATATAATCCCCTTGAGAAAAACATGGATAGACTTTTCCGCATTCTCAGTCCCATCAGATACCTTTTTAAAAAAATGATGTTACCATGACACACTGGTAGCATCTACCAGTGAGTAAACGTATTTGAACAATTCCCTTTCCTTTGATTGCCTTAAAGTCTAATCAATATAAACAGTAAGAAGCTGTTACACCTACTATCAGTCTTGAATGCAGTCAGTCACTATCTCTATTTATGTAAGTGATAGTACAGGTATTAGTAATTAGTAATGATTTTTAATATTGTTTTAGTAGTGTAAATAGTATTATCTCACTTTTGGTCAATCCAATTTATATTATAACATCAATGTCATTTTGTTGTGTGAGTACAAACAACTTGGTTTGAATAAAATGTAGTATATAGAGTATGAAATGTTTGGAACAACTTCAAAACATAGCATGTTTTTTAGCACAATCTTCTAATAGGATACAATGCAATGTCACAATAGATTGGCCTGAAAATTGGCTTAAAAAATTATTCAGTAATAAAAACAATAATCTTATAGCTTTATATATAGTTTTTCATATGAAACTACATTTGTCTAAGCAACTGCTGGAAAGTTAATGTATGTTTCATGGGACAATGCTTATGTAGGCTAAGCAGGTCATGTGATCTAAGGTTTGCAGGCAGTTGAAATTAGCACAGACTACTGTGAAGACAACTCGTGTGGTTGAGTATCGGTGGTCATTAGCGATACTGAGCATGGAATATGATGGCAGCAGTACACTAAATCAGTGACAACTGACTAACGAAGGGGAAAACATAACAGTACAAGAGAAGCAGATAAGTGTTAATTTTCATGTTCTTGTTTTGATATTGTAAAAATTCCAACTATGTGGGTCTAAGAAAAGATGGCAGACCTGGCTGGAAACAAACTACATGCTCAGCAGCCAGCTTTGCAGATGCTAATAAAAACACGTGACTTTTATGACAACTGTGTGGCATCAATACTACATGACCAAATTGTTTGGGATATACAGAAACCCCAAACACAAGCAGAACTGCGAAAAATGAGCGAATTAGAGTTGCAGAGGTGCATTGACATCTGAACGCTGCTTTAACAGTCTCTAGTTTTAAGACCAGAACAAGTGCACAAGGTCACTATGAAGACACAGAAGAACCCATGGAGAAAATCAAAACTCAGAAAAGAATGCCAGTTCTGTACTTCTTGCGATGAACCAGGGAAGGAATAATGTCCAGCTTTTTCTATAAGCTGGACATTATTCCTTCCTGGTTCATCGCAAGAAGTACAGAACTTGTTGAAGTGCCAAAGCAAAAATCACTTCTTGACAAAATGCAAGTCAATGAAGAAATGGGTTCAGACAGCAGCTGAGTGGAGAGAGAGAGTCAGTCAGACTTTGAGCATGTACACATGGTTGCAAAAGGGGAAAGCTGGCAGCCTGGCACATGGTACAATTTGACCTTAAATGGTGGTGAATGCAGAAATAATTGGATTATTGACAGTGGATCTTTGGTGAATGTGTTAAGTGCCGTGACATGTTAATGAGAAAAATCTGAAGCCCTCTGATAAGACCCTAATTATGTGGAATGGGGCAGAAATGAAACCTCTGGTCAAGTCCTGTGTAAAATTGATAAACCCAAAAAACGGAAGGAAGTATGCAGTGAATTTTGTGATTGTGAGAGATGACTTACATCCACTCTTAGACACAATGGTCATACAAAAAATGTGCCTGGTCAGTGTGAACAAAGAGGAGTTCCAGATGGGGGCTAGAGTCCCACAAGAAAAGAACTGGACACAAGGTCATACCACATCAATGTCAATGGGGAGCTGCACCAACTTGAAGAAAACAGCAGAAACACCCCCAAATCTGTGGGGATTCAGCTATACTCAGTCCAAGATGATCACCTAGGCACTACTTCAGAAAACCAGTCCAAAGCAGTAAATCCAACACCCCAACCAGACAATGGGAGAACCCCAAAGACACTTCACCAGGATGATTCATTGAGAAAAACATATTCTGGGAGACTAAAGGACTAGTAAAGAAAAAAAAAGTTGGGTAAAGGGGCAGAATAAACCAAGTAAGGCAAGAGGCCAGTCTGCCCAGTGAGTGTCTTGGTCACTCATCTCTTGCACATTTCCATTTTGAAAAAAAAAGAAGTTTTTTTTTTTTTTTTCAAAGCAGGAAAAATGTTTCATGGGACACTGCTTACATAGGCTAAGCAGGTCACATGATGTAGTGTTGCTGGCAGTTGAAATTAGCATGGACTACTGTGAAGACGGACATGTGTGGTCAAGTGTCGGTGGGCATAGCTGATACCGAGCATGGAACAACATAGATCTTTTGAACTCATCATTTTGCAACTGTTTAACTCTACCACGATTTCTTCAGAGATTTTTTTGCTGTTTTTTTTTTTTATTATTTTTAGGAAAAAGTGGCAAAAATCTTTGGGGCTCTCACTTTTTTCATTTTCAGTAACTGTAATGTAAGATTAAGGTAATGTTATTGGAGATAAGAAGAGGAATTTATCTTTAATCTTTAGACTCTTACTTTTCAGTTTTTATGACAAAATAGGAAAGAAGATAGTGATATATCATTGCACATAGTTGTTTTGCATACTTAAATGATTAACATATTCCTATGTGTCAAAGGTAGAGAGTATTTTGATACCCAGAACTGATTGTCATTCTAATAATATTGTCAGTGTAAAATCTGAAATTTAGCCATCAAAATTTTTGTTCACCATTCACGTTATAGAATGTTCATGTTGATAGCAGAAAAGATGTCATTAAAAGTTATCTTAAAATAAATATTATTAATAATTGATAAAATCATTTAATGAGCTAACATGGTTTGTTTATTTTTCAGAGATTTGCTAGAAGAGTTACTCCCCTTTATAAAAGAAGCCAATGACAAGAAAGCAGACAAAGTGAAGCAAAGAAGGAAGAGAGATTTAATGCGGTCACAATTAGCCCGAATATTTGAACTGATGGCTGAAAATAAAATATTAGCACAAGTGTAAGTAACTTTCTATCATGCAAGGTTCAATATTTTTGTCATTGATATAATTGATGTGTATAAAATGAGTGATGCATATTGTTTCAGGTGGTCATATTTTTTTTCATCAACTGCAGAGAATTTTTTATAGAAGTACAAAATGAGAATTTACAGTAAATAAAGTTTTGTGATCTTTGTTAACATTGTTAATCAGAAAACATAAGTCTGTAAGTTTCACAGTAATAACAATAATAGATGTTCATATTGAAAAGCAGGATTTGCAAACTACAGCAGAATAGAATCCTGAGGCACTACTATTTTCTTTATACATGATACTCAAACAACAATAGCTAAGATTTTAATATAAAATAATTTCAATTATAATAAGTTATTGAGTAATGATAAAGTTTGTTTTGGGAAAATATCTCCCAATAAGGCAACATATTTAGGCTCAAAATAATTCTTTTTTCATCTCTACTTCTAATCAGTCTTAAGCATGAGTTTTGCTTATGACTTGTGATATTTACATCAATTTTTTTTTTTTTATTATTCTGTTTTGTATTTTCCAGAAATGCTGATACCATTGAAAATGATAGTAAAAGTCTTCATAGCACTTTTCTTGATTACATTGAAGGAGCTCGACTCTACCTGGAAAGTGAAAATGAGAAGGACTTGCCACACTTGAAAGAAATCCGTTTGCATTTCAGTCGTTTTATTCAACATCTCATCAACAACACACCACGTAAATCTATTAATTTGTGAACTTATTGAGAAAATATGATTAAAAGAAATATATTTTTTTTACTTACATCTTCATTTTGAATGTGCTATTCTTTGATTATTGTCAGTTGTTATACTTATGAAAGGTATTTATATGAAACATAATTTTTTGATGCTGCAAATGGAATTGACAAGCCAAGTTCAAATTCCAGGCTAGTTTATTGTGATCACTTTTGTACTAATGCAAAGTTAGAAAAAAGGGGGTATAAATCTGTCTCTTCTTTTTCAACTAGGATTGAAATAGCGGGGTAGACTGGGCTCTCTAGCTTTGGGTGATAACCATTCTAAGAGAAGGAAAACTCTGAATTCCAAACCATGGAGAAAGCAACTGGAAGCCAATCCTCTTTCTTTTTCCAAGAATGCATGGCAATAATAATGAAATGCAATCTTTGGAGAGCCATGATCATCTGTTTTCAAAGAATTGACATAAAGTGAAGAGTTTTGAATCAATCACATTAAACTATCTACAAAGCTGATAATTATCTCTTTGTTGTAATTTGTAGAATAATATTTTTATACTAACTGCATTTATTAAGATTAAAGCTTTTATGTAATTAAAAATTATTTGAGTATAATTCCTTAGTAAATATGTGAAAATGACTTCTACATTGAGAAAACATTTGGATAAAAGAATAGTATACAATGGTTGATCAATAAGTCCATAACCTAACATATTTATCAGCTGAATTTTGAACTGAAATTTTCACTATATAATGTTCAATCTATATGATTTTTTATTTACTACTGAATTAAGTCCATTGACAAAGGAGATTATGTTGAAAAACATTTTATAGTTTAAAATAATTGCTTTTTTTCACTCTAAGATATTAGATGCACTTACATATCTAAGATTTCACTCTAAGATATTAGATGCACAACAGATTATAATAACCTGAAAGTATTTTGACTTAAAATTTTATTTTACATTATACCAAAGGAATTTTCTTCAGATTTTATTCTGTTTTGCTTATATAAAATATGAATTACTTTTCCTGCTACTTTATTATATTAGTTATTATATTTTCCAGTGAAATATCGAGCGACACTTCTTTCTAAGAGTGTACGCTACAGTCTATTCCATCTTTTAGCCAACTGGAGTGGGCGTTTCAGTCACATTTTTCCCAATTTGGAACAAAGGTTAGTTCATTTGTTTATTCTTATCAAAATAGGTTCTTAATCTAAAGAAATGCTAAAGTTATTTTCTGTTTTTAAACAATATGTTAAATTTTAAGTTTAAAATGTTTGACAATTCTACAAAATCTGATTCTTGAAATACCACACTTTCATGTTCACCAAAGAATTTCTTTCTTCAGTATTGGCATTTATGTGTGTGAATATATATATATCTTCTATAACACATATGTGCTTCATTCAAACAAATTAATACCTATTTTAATGTTTTAGAATATGACATCAACCTATTCGAGTTTTATATAATTAGACAAACTGAGAAAAAGTCATTTATCTCTTGATTAAAATCTTCATAAAAAAAGTATTAAAAATCTGGAATCAGATGCACATGACATTTGTTCATAATTAACAGAACTAATTTTTGTGTGGTTACTTTATAAATGTATATTTTTTTGGATTTAAAGATCTACAGAGCTTTATTTGACCAAATCACTTCATTAAAATAGGATATTAACTGTAGTAAGCTTATAATTGATTCACTCAGCAAATGCTGATTTAACAATGATTTTAATTTAATAAAGTTGTTTTGTACTGTTTTTTTTTTTTTTTTTTTTGTTAATGCTAGAATATTAAAAGAAGAACAACTAACAAACTTAGAAGTAGCTTCAGCAGGAGCTATGTCTGCAGTATTGTGTTGTGGACCAGTATTTGACCAAAATGGACTTAGTGATGATGGTTACATCTACACTTGGCTCAACACTTTACTTTCTTGTCAAAATGAAACAGTAAATATTCTTATTAATTTCTTTTTTCTAATCCTGTATTTTAATTTCTTAATCTCTTAAGCTACTTAGTGCTTAAATCTTATCCAGCAATTTCATCAACATGACTAATAAAAATATAGATAATCAGATAAGAAAAGCTAGATGTACCAGTTAACATGTGTAAATATCCTTATTTTTAAGTATATAAATAATGCAGTAGGCATAATCTTAATGTATCTTCAGCAGAAAGATATTGATGATACTTTTCTTAATGTCTCACTATTGAAATAAATATTGAAAGATAAATGCTATCTATAAATGCTGTAAGAATGCTATAAGAAGTCACTGAAAAATATTTCTACATTGCAATTTTCAATTACCAAAATTCTAATCATATAATTAAAATTGTTTTAATTTAAATTTTTTTCCTAATGCCTTTATTCATTTCTTGTGGATATTACTACCATATTTGAATTTTTTGTTTGTTTTCTCTTTATTTCATTACCTGCTAAAATAGCATATTTTCATTAATGTATTTTAATTACAACCATAACACATTAATTACTACAGAAATTTCCATCATTTATAGCCGAGCCATAGAACTGTATCAAATTTATTGTTCACTCCTTTAAAAAATGTTTTATCTTTATTCTTTTAGATTTACTTAATTGCTAAAGAGACGGTAGTATTTCTACTTGATTTTAATCCCGATGTCTTGAACTTGTTAGATTGGGTCATTGATCAGTGTTACACAGGAGCCGATGTTGTTGCAGATTGCTGTTTAAGTGCTCTAACAACAGTCTTCCTCACAAGGTCAGTCTGAATTAGTTTTGTTTCTTCTGCATTGTATTATCTTCATCCTCAAAATTATAATAGTAGTAGTCACAATAAAAAAAAGTTTTTATTATTGTAGTAGGTACAATATGTCTAAAATAATAAATCTGAAAAAAAAAAAATGATATTAAATATAATTAAGCTGCACCATGTATTTTTAGATGCTAATAAAAAGCAGATGATCAGATTAAAGGCTTGGAAATGTAAATCTCCGTTTTTTCCATCATTATCTTATGCTTGGGAATTTACAGTATCTAAATGATATTAGCAACTTTCAAATCTTAATTTCATAAAGATTTTTTTTTACTCAAATAAACATGAACTTGTTTATATCCTGCTATCTTTCCTGAGATTAATTTGATATCTAATTTATCTTTTTTTTTTTTTTCAATATAATTTGATAAGTATATTGATTTATATTATCCTAGGCTTTAAGGAAAAATAGTCTATTTTTTTTTATTTACAGTTATTCAAAAATATTAAAATAACTAGTATACCTGTGCCATAAAAAATGATGGTTTATTTTTTATTATATTTTTTATATAATTATAATATTTAGTAGAAAAATTTTTCATTATATATCTTTTATTTTATCACATGCATTTTAACTACTACTTGGAGTACTTTTACAGAAACTTGCAAAATAGACAATTATATTTGATTTGCAAATTTAATTCCTGTTGAAAAGAAAGAAATCACATGAAAAGCTTGAATAAGTAAGATTGCAAAATCTAAGAAGCATAAAAGTAATGGAATTGATTAAGTAAACAGTTTATTTTGGTTAGGAACTAATTTTGTCTAAATGCAAACATTTTATTTGTAGAGATTTATAAAAATGACTAAGGGAAGTAATCACTCATAAATCACTAAATAAATTTACCTCTCTTCCCACTATAGATGGGACAAGAAGTATATAAATAAATACACATTGATAATTATTATATAGTTTGATGATTTATCACAAGTTATTCTACATTTAGTAGATGATACATGTTAAGTTTTTGATATTTTTGCCTATAAATGTGATGTGCAAGCTGATTTCTTTTTGAGAATATACATGAATATAAAATGTTAATGTAGTATTGTATGTAAATTAGATACTGCTATAAAAGCAGAATGCCACAGTGAATGCCAGTCGTGTTACCATCAGTTGACCTGACAATATTTATGGCAGAAATTACTCCACTTCATAATAATATGATGTCGTCGATAGGATCTCTAACTGCATTAGAGCACATAGAAACTTGGATTGGATGTTTCGCAATGTTAGCTAGGGTAAAGAAACTGAAAGACAAGAAAGCTTCCAGGTGGGAGAATGAAATTACTGATTTATTTTTGGCTTCAGCAGGATGTGAAGCCATAAAGAAAATATCAATTATGGTTTACCCCCAAAATATTGGAAGATTTAACACATGAGGAAATTTCAACCATTATATAAAAAGAAACATGCAACCCCCCAAAAAAGCTGGTTATCACAGCGAGAACAAAATTTCTGGAAAATAGACATAACTGTAATGCAATATTTACACAGATTGAAAGATGCATCAAGATATTACAAATTTGAAAAACTGGGTTAAAGAGAAATGTCTATAGAAGACAAATTGATCCTTCTAAGACTAATTGAAGGCACATATGACATTAAATACAAATATAAGGTCCGAGAACAGCTACAAGTGAATGATAAGAATTTAGAAGCAAGTGTAGAATTCTTATTGAAATTAGAATTAATTAGTGAGTCTAATAATTCTAAAAACAATGTGGAAGCATACAACACAATCCTAATTAAGTGCAAAATATTGCAACAAAGAACACAAAAGAAACAAAAGCAAATGGAAAATTAAGTTTAAACTGTAAAAGAAAAGACCATTTCTATTCTGTGAGCAGATACCAAAAAAGAATAAAAGGGTAAAGAATATAAACTGAAAATACAGAAGTATATTTGATAAGAACACCTGCAAAAAGTAAAGAGACAGTAAAATTGAATGGCATAACTTTTCCCATATACAGGTAGACACAGGAAGTGATGTTAACTTGGTCCCAAGGAATTCCTGGGAAAAAATGGGTAAACCCAAATTAAGAAAAAGTAATCTCAATTTAAAACAATTTGATGGATTGGTCATCAAAACTACTTTTGAGACAAAAAACTATTTTGAGATTATTTTGATCACCATTGTAGAATGCACAAAAAATCATGGACTCCTGGGAAATGATATTTGAAAAGTGGATACAGCAAAATAAAATCAGAAAAACGTGACATAGAACTTATTAAAAGGATATAAAGTGAGTATTCATCTAAAAGGATATAAAGTGAGTATTCATCTAAAAGGATATAAAAGGATATTCATCTAAAAGGATATAAAGTGAGTATTCATCTAAAAGGATATAAAGTGAGTATTCATCTAAAAGGATATAAAGGATATTCATCTAAAAGGATATTCATCTAAAGGATATAAAGGAGTATTCATCTAAAAAATAGGATATTCATCTAAAAGGATATAAAGTGAGTATTCATCTAAAAGGATATAAAAGGATATTCATCTAAAAGGATATAAAGTGAGTATTCATCTAAAAGGATATAAAAGGATATTCATCTAAAAGGATATAAAGTGAGTATTCATCTAAAAGGATATAAAAGGATATTCATCTAAAAGGATAAAGGATTCATCTAAAAAGGATATTCATCTAAAAGGATATAAAGTGAGTATTCATCTAAAAGGATATAAAAGGATATTCATCTAAAAGGATATAAAGTGAGTATTCATCTAAAAGGATATAAAAGGATATTCATCTAAAAGGATATAAAGTGAGTATTCATCTAAAAGGATATAAAAGTGAGTATTCATAAAAAGGATATAAAAGGATATAAAAAGGATATAAAGTGAGTATTCATCTAAAGGATATAAAGGATATTCATCTAAAAGGATATAAAGTGAGTATTCATCTAAAAGGATATAAAAGGATATTCATCTAAAAGGATATAAAGTGAGTATTCATCTAAAAGAAAAAAATCACTCAGTCTATTTTGAATCTCAAAAATACCTATTCACATTTTACCCATTGTAGTTTCAAAACTGAAGAAAATGGTAGAACAAGGTTACCCAAGGTTGTAGCAGTTGGTCTTCACAAATTGTGGAAATATGAAAGCCTAATGACGATTTGAGGATATGCAGGGATTGCAAAGTAGGTGTGAATGATCAGATAGGCTCTGATTCATTCCCCTTACCTAACATAGAAATGGCAAGTGTTATAGACAAGCGTATGGTTGCAAGAAAGAAATACGACAACAGTAGAAATAGATTTACGTGGTTTATTTCAACAGGAACGTAAGGGTTTAGGACAGCTACCTTGGTGTGGTAAAGTTCATAAGCCGGCTTTCGGATCTAGGTCGATCTCTCATAGTAGTTCACACATGTTGACGGTGGTTGACGCTCTCCTGCTGACAGCTGCTAAACGTGACCGGTCTCCTTTGTGGCCACCTGTTGACTGCTGCTGAACTTCCCTGTGACCCCTTTTATAGCGTTTTTTTATGGCTTAACAGGCTCGAGAAACGAAGTGAGTATAATTAGGAGGGAAGCATTTTTATTGGATGGAAAATAGAGCACTTTAATTATTATTTTATTTTTCGACCGGAACACGTGTGTCGGAAACATTTGTAAAGAAAGTTAATGGTCATTTTGTGACGGGGCTTTGTCCCGTTCACATCCGGTTCTCACTCTTGAGTATTTGCCTGTAAATCAGCCGAGATATGTCATTTTATTTTATAACAATGCTCCCCCAGATTTCGGTCTGATTTACAGTGAGCATTATTCGTGTATATTTGGGTGATTAAGTCATGATAAAGTCTCTGAAGCGTGTGGGAAGTTGTCCTCGTGTTCTTCTTATTGGCATCTGTTTTGGTATGGGGTTATTTGCTGAATTATGTGTCCCCGAGGGATGTGGAGGAGAATGATCCTGGTGACTGTTACATGGTGGAGGCAGAGGGATTGTATTAGAAAGATGTGCTGGGCGTGGAGCCAGTCGTTGGATATGTGCACGGTCAATCCAGATTGTATCACCATCGTTTTGCACCTGACACATCATATTGTTCATTTTTATAATTGTGTAATTTCCTATCCAGGGCAGATGAGAGGATTGGGCAACAGTTGAGTGTGGCCGATGAAGTAAAACCTTGTCGCCTACTTGTATTGGGTCCTTGTGTGTGAGGTGATTTAAGTTAGTCTCAAGTTTGTGGTCAGCTTCATCGTTGGCCAGGGTGACGTGGTGGTGAACCTGCTTTAGCAGGGCATTAATTTGCATTCCATATGCTCCAGGATCGTCGCTTGTGATTTCTTTTCTGTGTAGTGTAGGTAGGCCGATGTTGGGGTGACGGCCGGTAATGGCATAGTGCGGGGATACACTGGTGGCGCTGTTGTTCGTGGCATTCATGGACGAAATGACAGATTCTAGAATGTCTGTCCATTCACAGTTTCTGTCTTCGCATAACATATAAAGTGCGTTCTTCATCGTGCAATGTTGTCTCTTGATATTTCCTGAGCTTTGCGGGCGCCAAGGACAGTGAAGTTCTTGTGTGATTGACATCTGGTTACAGAATTGTCGATAGACTTCTCCAGTGAAGTGTGTGCCTCGATCAGAGGATACTATGCGTGGAATCTCTCTGTGTCGAAGGAAGAACTGGTACAATCCGCGGGCGGCGTTGATAGCACAGTCTCTCGTGCATGGTATTGCTGTAAAATGTCGGCTGAAGCTATCCAAGATGGTTAGGATGTAGCGTTTTCCCTTTGAGTTGGGCATTGTGACAAAGTCTATAAAGACGAGATCGAATGGTCTCTTTCCTCGTTTGCAGTGGCCAATGGGCCAGTGGGTACGTCTACCGTAGTTTCCCTTGCACTTAGCACACATGTCGCAAGAATCGACATAGGCCTTGATGTCGCGGTTTTTGAATTCCACCAGTAGCTGGAAAGGAGTTCTCGCACACGGGT